GGATTCAAAATGACAACTTTTTCACAAAAAATTGACTTTTTCAACTTAAATTTTGAAAGTGTTCCGGAAAGTCTGACACTTTTATATATATCTTAAATTAAAGCTAATGTAATATACTTTATTATGGAAAAAAAAAATTTCGGACTTTATTTTATCTTCATGGTGAAAACAGACATAGAAGTTTATAAAAAAAATACGATTTTTGTAAAAAAATTCTTTTTTATATTTTTAACTTTATAATGCTATAACTTATTGAAAAGTTTATGGATCCACACAATTTTTTTATGAGAAATAATATTTTTTAATAAACACTTTTTCATTCGACATACTTTATCTTAATCAGGATATTAATAAGGAACCAGCAGATCAAGTAGCTTTTGGAATAAAACACCAATTTTTTTAAAATTAAACACTATCTAAAGATTTGCATCGAAGCGTTTATTTTTGATAGTGATTTTAATCATTGTCAGATATCATTATACTTGATCCATCTATGCCACGTCACCACTGTGCCGCGACACCCCTGTGCTGGGTTGGGTTTATTTTTTTAATTTAAATAAATAACGCAGCAGCAAAGATCTTTGGACGTGATTACATGTATGTCAAGTTTATATCATAATAAAATACCTATAAAAATAATTAGATATGGTTAACAATGAGAGTGAATAAAAATTGGTCACTAGCACAAAAGTTACATAGATATCATATTTAGTCAAATAGTTCGGTAAGTGTAATTAATTATTATTAACGCTTTATCAGCTGACATAAATAGTTTCTCATCATTTAGATAACTTTTGCTTACTCGTAAAATTTATTTGCTCCTAAATAATAACTATTTTGTAATTACTATTTCCAACAGAAGCCCAAATACCTACATTAGAGTAACGAACTTATGGGCGTAAAAATATTTTACTGTTTTCATTATAATTACAGTTTTGAGTGCTGACCCTGCATGGTGTTCATACACAATTAAATATACATATAAAGTAACAACCACTAAAAATTTAAGTAAAATCGATAAAATGGTTCTGCGATTTTCTCCTATTAAAAAACAACATTTTTCCAACCTTATTTTTTTATGTTAATTTTTCAATCATTTCTAATATTATAATTAATATACTTAATAACATAACCAAAAAAAAAGTTAATAAATATGTGTTACACGAAAGATTTTATAAATAAAAATTATTCTTAGTTATTATTATTCAGAAAAGTCTATCTACTTTAAAATTTTACTGTCCTTAGTTTTAAAAAAACCCAGCACAGGGGGGTCGCGGCACAGTGGTGACGTGGCATAGTTGGATCAAGTATAATGATATCTGACAGTGATTAAAATCACTATCAAAAAAAAACGCTTCGATGCAAATCTTTAGATAGTGTTTAATTTTAAAAAATTGGTGGATTATTCCAAAAGCTTCATAAACTGCTAGTTCCTTATTAATATCCTGATTAAGACAAAGTATGTCGAATAAAAAAGAGATTATTAGAAAATAGTATTTCCCATAAAAAAATTATATTGATCAATACACTTTTCAATAAGTTATAGCATTATAATGTTAAAAATGTAAAAAATAAAATTGAGAATTTTCACACAATAATAGCATTTGGTAGCCATTTTCACCTTGAAGATAAAATAAAGTCCGAAATTTTTTTTTTCCATGATAAAGTATATTACATTAGCTTTAATTTAAGATATATATAAAAGTGTCAGACTTTCCGGAACACTTTCAAAATTTAAGTTGAAAAAGTCAATTTTTTGTGAAAAAGTTGTCATTTTGAATCCCCCCCTGTAGGCAGGTAAAAAGTCAGATTTATAAAAAAAATATACCAAATGATAGGTAAAGACATCATGCATCTACAAAAAAAAGAATTATATTGATCCATACATCTTTCGAGAAGTTATAGCATTATAAAGTTAAAAATATAAAAAAGAATTTTTTTACAAAAATCGTATTTTTTTTATTAAGTTTAATGTCTGTTTTCACCATGAAGATAAAATAAAGTCCGAAATTTTTTTTTACCATTATAAAGTATATTACATTAGCTTTAATTTAAGATATATATAAAAGTGTCAGACCTTCCGGAACACTTTCAAAAGTTACGTTGAAAAAGTTCTACTTTCTATATGCATTTTTATGTTTTGAATCCCCCCTGTATTTAGGGAAATGGTCCGATTTAAAAAAACAGTATGTCGAATGAAAGATCTATATAAATACTACTTCTCATAAAAAAATTGTAATGATTCATACATTTTTCAAAAAGTTATAGCATAATAAAGTTAAAAATGGAAAATACAAAATCGAAAATTTTCACACAAAAATAGCATTCGGTAGCCATTTTCACCATGAAGATAAGATAAAGTCCGAAATTTTTTTTTTTCATGATAAAGCATATTACATTAGCTTTAATTTAAGATATATATAAAAGTGTCAGACCTTCCGGAACATTTTCAAAATTTAAGTTAAAAAAATTAATTTTTTGTGAAAAAGTTGTCATTTTAAATCCCCCCTTGTGGGCAGGTTAAGGGTTAAATTTATGAAAAAAATATACCAAATGAAAGGTAATGATATTATGCATCTATATAAAATATAATTATATTGATATGTTCATTTTTGAAAAAGTTATGGTACTTTTAAGTAAAAAAAATTGAAAAAATTTCGAAAATTAGCGATTTTTAAATTTGTAATTTTTTTGGAGGTTTCCCCCTTTTACGGGGAACGAGGGAATTTTTTTCAATTTTTAAGGGTAATGTCTTCGACTAGATACGATTTGTGATCTTTTGACGTATCATTGAAAGAAATCGGTTCGGTGAGAGCTGAGAAAAAGTGGTAACAGACACAAAAAAAAACACATCTTAGTAAAACCAATACCTTCTCAGCTTCGCATCGAAGCTAAAAAATTATTATATTAATTTTTATGAAATCGTAGGGCTAATTGTTACTATTAGTAAGTTTTTATTTTTAAAAATTCTTAATAATTACCTGAATTTTTACTGATCTATTTTATCTTATAGTCACCATAAAAATATTAATAATACTGTAAGAAATTACATTAAGTATTAAAAATTCATTAAAAAATATTACATTTTTATTACTATTAAAATATTCTCTAGCATTATATGCATTAAAAATTACCAATTTATTCGTGTGAAAATTTGGACATTTTTTTTAAAGAGTGTATTTAGTAAATTAAAATTTTTAATTCAATAAAAAAATTACTCAATCTAAACAACATTTATTAATTTATCATGAGCTAAGATATTTTATTACATATTGGAAAAAGTTGTTATTTTTTTCATTGTTTATAATATATTATTATAGAAATAACAAATAAAAATGCGTTTTTTGTTAAAAGGTAATAATATTGTAAAATTATCTCAAATTTAAAGTTCAACTCTTAATATTAATTTTAAGGTAACTTTTTGAAAAGTTAAAAATCATTTGCCGAGTAAATTAGACGAGTACTCCGGTACAATAAATATTTTAAAAGATTTTAATTTATTTTGACAAAGTTTATCTTATTTAAATCTTAATATCTGTTAAATATCACCTTTTAAAATAGTTATTTATTAGATATTTGTTTTCTTAAGCAGTGGATGATATCAAAAATATATTTTAGACTGGGAATTCTTTAACCAATCTCATTAAGAGATACTTTCATAACGGTTTCAGCTTAAATAACAACTTCCACTCTTCAAATTTAAGTAAAATTTTTCTATTCACTTTAGCCGAAACAATTTTTTTTCAACATAATTTTATTTTGCTAAATATGACAGACATTTTTTCGAAATTATGGATGCATTATTTATTTACAAAATCATCTGGATAACACAGTTCTACTACAATTTACAGTGTAAAATATCTTTATTGTAATAATTAACACCGCTCTTCCATATTTCTTGAAACTACCTAATAAAAAATAAACTTGTTAATTAAATTATTGATATTAAAATAATTTTATGATAGTAATAAAATTATTAATATTTGTATAAATAATAAAGATAATAATGTATTATTTAGAACTTGAAGATTTTTAATATCATAGGAAAACTTGGATTATTATTATTTTTTTGTTATTAATTAATACCTATTTATTTAATTGTTTATAGAACTAAAATTTATGATTTATATATTTTTATTTCGAAATAACGGCTCGCATAAGCTGTCAAAATCGCATTGATTCGTTACCTAAACTAACTAAACGTTTCAGTTCAAAGTATTTGACAGCATTGTAAATATTATAGCTCGAACTTAAAAAAAAAACCAAAATAATAGCTAATAATATTTTATTTATCTAGTTTTAAAGGCCCTAAAAATTTAAATAAAAATACTGAAAATGCTCGATATCAACTCAGATTAGCATACATTATATGACTCGTTTTGTAATACATATTAATTTTAAGCTCAATTATTTATAAGATAATATAAAAGTTCTAAAAGTCTAAAGAATTGCATTTTCTTTTTAGAATAAAAATTGAATAAATATAAATCTAAACACTATTGTTTGTGTAATACACCGAATAACATAGGATTATCAATCATATAGACATGGATGTAAAATCTCCATTACTGATATTGTTGTACGAAGATTTTCATTAATGTAATATGCTACACAATATAAAACAATTTTTGATGCGTTTCATGAATTTTAAAAAAACGATATAGTGTTTTTCAAACGAAGTTGATAAAATATACTATTTAGTTGAATCTATAATTTATTTAAATATGTTTTTTGTATTTGAATAAGCATTTGATTATACATACATGTGTAAATGTGTGAGAGGTGAAAAAGAAAAGAGAAAAAAGTAGTTGGTAAGGTGAGGAAAAAAGGGATTCGATCAATTGGCTCAAGGACGTTTGTGGCTGGTGTGACCCCCTTTTCCAGTCAGGCATTTATTTTAGTGAGACCAGACGACCCCGAGGCGTCTGTCAGGCGCGGGGGGCGGAGTTTTATCGACGGGGATGCATTACAACGTGAAAGGCAAAAACGATGGTCAATCTAATGTCAGCAAGAGGTTAGTAAACCATGCATGTAATATGGAATACCTATACAGGTATATTAGTCAATGAAATTCCAGTATTTTTTCTAAAATACCTTTTCTTAAGTATAAATAGGTACTTGTAAAAAAACAAAAATGTTCATTTATCAAGATTTTATGAATTTTTTATAAATAAAATATATTTAACAATTTTATGATCATTAAATATTTAATTGTAGATAAAAGTAATAATTATGCATATTAGTCTAATGGAGGAAAGTCTGTAACATGTTTAACTACAGCTGTGGTACAAAACTACGTGGCATAATGTACGCTAATGGGCTAAACGCTTGAAATATAAATTCAATTTTCTACTTAAACAAAAATTGGACCTCGTTCACTTCAAATAGAACATCAATATTTAGTATATATTATATATTTTTATATAATAAATGTATAAAAATGTTTCATTTGTATCTGAAATTTGTGCAAAACCCCTTTGTCCTCTTTAATAAAAAAAAATTCTATTATTCACAAAATTTATAGAATTCAAAAGAGTAATAATTACTTCCTATGATTTTTTGTGAGTGTTATAGGTCAACGCGCTCACTTACCCTATTCCGAATTTTAAAAATACTGAAATCGTCTTTTTTCTCCATTCTACTTTTTTTACCAAAGTAATATTTATCAACAACAAAAATAATTTTAAAAAAAAATGGGTGTATAATAAGTTTATATAATTTAAGTAGTACTTTTAGAATATTTAAGTGAAAATTTGAAAAATTTTCCTTAGCACACAATACCTAAAGTTTTGATGTTCAAAAATTACATAAAAACACATTAAATATGAATTTTTAATCACAACTAAAATTAACTTACGCACACGCGCGTTAGTTATTGTGAGTAACCGTCGTAAGCGGTTTTTATGTTAACTTGGATATGCTGTTATATGTAATATCATTATATATATTATATCTTCCACATTCGTCATCTTACCCCGCCTTGCTCTATAAAGTTATTCAACATTTGAACGTTATACAATTATTACGTTTTTAATATTAATACATTTAATTATTTTTTGTTAAATGTTTTAATGTTTAAAGGGTTTGAAACATAATAAATTACAACAGCTGTTTAAAAAAGGAGAGATGACTACTTTTTTCTAACATAGAACTTGTTTAAATAGTTCATTTGAATATAATTTATTTTTGTTTTAACGAGAATTGTTTTACGTTATAAGTAGAATTGTATTTCATAATATTTTACGTTTGTTGATATCACATATTTTTGGTTTTTGATCTTAATATAAATAAATATATTTAATAGTCTTACATTGTTATTTTCAACCATTAAACATAATTGTCAATAACATTTTCTTCAGAAATTTTTATAAAGGCTCGTATAAGAAAACAATTTATGAAAAAAAAGCTTTTACATTTCTATACTTCAAATAAAACTATTTTAATAGTGGCTACTAGACTTGTTTATGTTTAAATATATGATAGCATTTTATAACTTAATACTTACAAAGAGTAATAATACTTAGGTTTCGAATTATGTTATTATGACAAATATTTATTTAGCTAATAGTCTTTGAGTTAACATTACATTCTAATAAACACCTGATCTAAACTTGAGACGTTATTAATTATCCTTAATTATTTTGAAAAAATAAAGATAGCATAAATATCCAAAATATTATATTAAAATAGTTAATCAATTTAATCACTTTCAAGTAGATCCTTAGTCAAAATGAGTTAAGTCATGTTTCGAAAATGAATGTTGTAGTAAAGTTCTGAAAATCAGGTCATATATGAAAACTTCCTTTAGTTAAACTATATAATGAAAATCATACTCAGTAAATATGTCTGCTTAAAATTTCCACAACAAGAAATCGATTAACAAGTATTTTTTGAAACCTTACTAACTTATACTATGAAGTTGTATACTTGTACTTATTTTATTTCGACTGCCCTCAAAGAAATATTTTTCAGGTTAAAATGATATTAAATATGTTTAGCATGTTAAATATATTGCCAAAAAGGCAAATGTCTGAGGTATTATTAATAAAAAATTCGTAATTATTCACTCAGTTTTCAAAAAGTTACTTCAATATAAATTAAAAATTGTAATATCAACTGTAATTTTTTGTAATATTTCCCATTATTACTGGAATTAAGAGGAGTTTTTTAAAACTATTGCGCTGTTAGCTTCAACCAACTATACTAATCACTCCAATGGGTTATTCATTTTTATAAGGACAGAACAAAAAATACGACAGAATCAAAACAATAGCTCCATAGCTACGCATCAAAGATAAAAAATAATCATTCTTAAGAATTCATTATATATATATATATATTAATATATATATTTTAACCTAATAAGTAATAAAGAAAAGTAAATAAAAATGAAACAATAAATGATTTTTAAAATAGTATAGTATCTGATTCGTTAACAATATTAAAATTGATTTATAAAAATCCATATTTTAAAATTAAAAACAAAAAAATTACAATCTTTTTATATTAAGATAGCTTGTAGCTGAATTGGCTCCCAAAATCCATGATTTTTGTAGACTATCTCCCTTAATCTGGAGCTGACTCTAATAACTAGCTAGTATATACTAAACCACTACCCTAATTGTGTTATTTGGTATAAAACCACCAATTTTACTGTTAAACACATAAGACATATGCATATACATATAATAAATAGGTAATTTCCAAAGAAATCACATAAAATAATTACCATCTCGTTAGATTAAAATTATTAAATATTAAGTTTTAAACAGTTATGCATTTGCTAAATGATTTATTTTTTAGTGTTTAATATATATCACAAAATAAAAATCAACCTATAATAGAAATATTCTGATCACAAAATCTGTATATGTAATTGTTTTAAACAAGTTCTACAGTAAAAATTGTGAGGTAATGAACTCTTAGAATCTTTGTGAGTAATTAGGTCCTGGCCCATTTGGATTAGTTTGTTGTGAATACATCATTTGTTGTTGATGTTGAGGTACATGATGAAAGTCTTGTTGGTGAGATTGTTGTACTTGCTGTGGTTGTTGTTGAAGTTGCTGTTGCTGCTGAACTTGTTGCTGTTGTTGCTGCTGCTGTTGTTGTTGCTGCTGCTGCTGCTGCTGTTGTTGAGATGAATTTGGCATAACTGTTCCAGGATTAACACTAGAATGACCACCTAAACCATTCATGCGCATTCTTTTTTGATTAGCAGCATGTTGCTGTTGTTGATGACTATGATGACTACCCGATTGATCAGAATGTGCGCCCTAATAATCATTTCCAACTTACTCTTAGTTATAAATTACAATCATAGTAAGATATATATATATTAACTAGCCAAGAAATGTAGCCTAAGATAGCAGTATAAAATAAAATAAAATAAAAACCCATGCAAATAATTTGAAAAAGCATTTTTTTACAAACAAAATAAAATTACAATAAATATGTGCTTTTTTTTAAGCCATTACTAGAAAGATTATATTGACTAATAACACATAAATTAAAAACTCACTAGCAATTATTAAAAATGCAAAACAATTTATCAGTGATAGAAAGTGTTTTAAATATAACACAACTTTTTTAAATTTAAACATGGTTAAGATTTTTTATGATTCTTTTAACAGTAAATATTCAGTAATATAGTTTATAAATACCATTAAGATAATTTGACGTTTAAAATTTAAAAGAGAATATTATATAGCAATTAAAATTCCAGTTACACAATGTTTTTATTGAGATTTTCTAAGCATTAAAATAGTAAAGAAATATACTACCCTACTAAGCAAAAGTGTTACAAAAACCAAATTTTTTTTTTTACTTTTATCATTTGCTAGTCTATTTGATTTAGTAAATAACATACATTTCTATAGCTTTTTTTGACAAAGATAAAATGAAATAATAATAAAAGTATATACTTTACTTATTACTTTTATGTCATTACTTAATGATATAATCTGTTTAAATACCTATTTATTAAAGAATAATGTCATAAGTAAATTTTACATAATTGCTTAATAATTATTAATTGTTTATAGATATGCTACTATACAGAGTGATTTTTTTATCATAACCCACTCAATTACTTGAAGAATATATATAATTTAAACTTTTTTTTTTTTGGTTTTCTTTAGTTACGCATTATTCTTGAATTATTAACTATTTAAAACTTTTTATGTTCATCCTTTATGCCTTGTAAGGGTGTCAACTTTGTTTTTTTAAATGGGAACACATATTTTTAATTTAATAAAATGTTTGGATTTTTAACTCAATAGTAAATGACATTTGAATATTTAGTATAACTTTATTAGTTTATTAGATATAAACATTTAAAGTTTCGAATTTTTGAGTTAATATACATGTATAATACACAAGGGATTATAAATATAGATAGCTAATTAGATTTTTATGACATTGCTGTCACAGTCACGGATTGTTTATTATCAATTATCAAAGAATAATGTGTAACTAAAGAATACAAAAAAAAAAAAAAATGTTTAAATTATATATATTCTGCAAGTAATTGAGTGGGTTATGATAAAAAAATTACCTTGTATAACTACTGTGTTTTTGCTTAGGTTATAAGAGATACAACATTCTTACTTAGTGCTAATAATTTATTTTGTTTATGAAATTTAAAAAAAATCATAATTTCTTTTATACCCTATTCAGTATTATTTTAAGAATATTTTTTTCTACTAAAAATATGCATAACATAACCAGTTCCCATAAACAACTAGATTTTTTTGAGTTATAGAACTTTTGCTTAGAACGGCAGTATAGACTCCTATTTATTTCACTCACAATAATAGTAGAACGCCTCTATGGCTAAAATCTAAGTATGCGTTACCTCTAGCGCAGTATGATTAAAGCCATGCCAATTGTGTAAACTATTAACATAAGCATTGTTGATTAAGCTATTACGGCGCTCCTGGGCAATATTGTCAAGTCTAGGCATGATAGGTTCGCTCTTAATAAAAGTGCGAGTGTTAGAATTATCGACTAAGTAACGTCCATGGTCATATGCAAAAATCTAGCAAAATAATATTTTTTAAATGGCATGCATTAAATGATTTCATAGAATTTATTAAATAAATTAACAGCCATTTTTAATAATAATAAAACCTGTAAAGCAATAAATTGATTATTAAGCACTTATAAATAATTCAAAAATAAAGTTTTTGATGTAAGAAAATTATTATCTAATATAATTTATATATTTAAAATTAATTATCAAAAATAATTATATCAATATAAGTAAAAACACATTGCTACATTCAAGATTAAAAATCTTTTAGAGTCCAAAATATTAATATAAATAGAAAAATTATTAATGAAATAATAGTTAAAAAGTATGAAACAAAATTAAAATTAATTTTTTAATTCTAAAAGATTTATAGTCGTGTATAAATAAAATTATATAATCACATACTAAATTACTAGCATCATAAATACAATAATGAGTAAACAATTTTTTGATTTTGTTTTAGTTATGTATAATGCTTGATTTATTAATAATAAATTACTTTTTAGAATCATCCTTTATAACTTATAAGGATGACAAATATTTTTTTTTCAAATTGCATCATACATAATTTACTTGATTATTTAATAGATAATAATTTAATTAAGAAAATGACTAGTCAATAACAATTTTTGGACCAGTACTTTAGAAGTTATTTAAATTTGTATACCTAGGTGTGAGAATAAATACAGGCAGAAATGACTAGTGATAAAAATAGAGGCAATCACTTCTCATCTATAGATAAAAATTTAATTTGTTAATAACTTTTGAAATACTGATCCTAAAGTTATTATTGACAAGTCACTTTCTTAATTACATCATTATCTATTAAACAATTATGTGTTTACTATTTGAAAAATTAAAGTTAACATCTTAATAAGGTATAAGGGATAATTCTTAAAAATAATTTATAACTGATAAATTAAGAAATGTAAGTAATTAAAAAGTCAAATATTTATTTCCTATTATTGTATTTATTTTGTGAATAATCAAATGGTTTATGATAAACCGACTTTTCTGTATATTATTTATAAATATAATATAGTAAAGAATGCATCAAACATGAAAGCTTATTTTTTTAAAAAAAAAGTTCAAACTCAAAATTATAAAGTTTAAAGCTTGTGGCTTAAGTATAAAATATTTCATGCAAATAAAACATTTTGAAAATGAATGATTTTTTTAATTAAGTAACTTATAAAATTTCTATAATACATACATTTGTAGCTTGTTGTCTTTTATCTTTATCATCTTGATCATCATCAGTCAAAAATTCTCTTTTAGGATATGGAATAGGACAGCCGGCAAAAACACTAAAATAAAATTTATTTTAATGTTTAAAATTAAAATTAATTAAAATATGATATTTAATATCATATTTTAATTGATTAATTTATTTATAACCTAATAGACAGGTGTATGACAATAAAACAATGATTACTGACATTGTGGAAAATATTTTTTTTATTTAAATGAACAGAAAATAAAAATAGATATAAAAACGGTAGCACAGTGGGATTGTGGCATAGTTGGGACAAGTATAGATGATATCTGACAGTGATTAAAATTACTATCATAAGAACGCTTTGATGCAAATCTGTCAATAGTGTTTAATTTTAAGTTTCTGATCACATATCAATTAAAAAATTTAAAGGATTTTTTTCAATATTTGGGGATTATAAGTTCAAAAAGATTAAAATTGTGTTCTTTTAACGTATGGGTCATTAAAATTGGTCAAGTGAGAGCTGAGAAAAATTAACGACAGACACAAAAATAAACTATATAGTAATATATTTTAATATGAATAAGAAAGTCCTTTCCACAAAGTTTCCCCTTGTGAGAAGGGCTTTCTTAAAGTGATAGGATCTTTGATATTTATTGAATATTTTGATTGAATATTTTGATTGAATGTTATTTATTATTATTCATTTTGAATTTTTTCACACCTCAAAAAAGAATTCAGAAAGAAATGCAAAAAAAGTTATTTTGGCTGGCAGGGTTGGAACTTTGTACAACGACCTTATGATATACGACACATATACATAAATAAAAATTCAAAGTATCTTTAATTAATTTTGAGTTGGAAAAATAATCACAATAAGTTTAAATTTATATTAAATGCAAGTTAGATTCATGTAACTTTTATAAAAATTGTTGGACTCATTACTATGGTTAACCCTTATAAAGTATTTTACTATAAAAAAAATAAAAAATTAATACCTTCTCAGTCTTGCATTGAAACTAAAATTGATAAAAAAAACTATGACAATACAAAAAATGATGACTTTTTACACTAAAATAATATTTTATTGATTACATATAAAAGATAAGTCATCGGGACAAATTTTTTGTTTTAAATTACAGTACGTAAAATAAGATAAGAATACGTATCATAAGCTTTAATTTTTTAATTTTTAAAAAAATATTGCAGTTTTCAGAAAAAAAAGCGAAATAAATGTCGAAAATTACTGATTTTTTAAATTGTAATTTTTTTGATGATTTCCCCTATTTACAGGGTACGAGGGAAAATGTTTGTAATTTTTAAGGGTAATGTCTTCAACTAAATACAATTTGTGATCTTTTGACGTATCGTTGAAATAAATCGGTCCAGTGAGAGCTGAGAAAAATTGGCAAGACACCAAAAAATAAAAACACACATCATGGTAAAATTAATACATTCTCAGCTTCACATCGAAGCTAAAATTTAAAATGGTGAGACTTAATATCTTATAACTAAGAATTTCTTAAAAAATTTACTCTGAAGTTGGTATAGGGTCCTCTTGGAAATATGAATCTTGTTTTGCTTGTTCAGATGTAATTCTTTTGTTAGGATCCATTAATAATAGTTTTTGTAGCTAAAAATATAAAAAACATTTTAAAATATTAATAAAAACAAAGTTACCTTATTAATGATTATAAATTTTACCAAATGGAATGCTTTACTTTCAGGTTTAATTTTATGACGATCCATATATTTCACCAAAGAACAATTAGAATAACTAAATTAATAAAATAAATTGTATTATAACTTTTCATTTAAATAAATATTTTATTATAAAAATGCAAGTATTTTTATGTGTACTTGGAACGTTTAAAATCTTTCATAAGAGTAGCATGTTCTGGCATCTTTTTAATGTCTTCCCAATCCTTTTCTTGAGGAAAACCCATAACATTAAAAATTCTGGAATGCAACATACATATTTAATTTTTTAATAAATTAATTTTACTAAATTATAGAGTTCCAAATTTAAAAACTTGACAAATATTTGTAAAATACATAAATACCTATCTAGTTGATCATGATGATATGGATTACTAGTTTTAATATCTTCTTGACGGCAATGAAATATTGGTTCTGATGTTAATAACTCAGCAAATATGCAACCAATAGCCCAAATATCTATAACAATTTAAAGTCATGTAAGTATTACTAATATAAATAAAAACAATTTTTTTGATAAAAAAAAATTATTTTAAATAATATGTTTGACTAACCAATAGCTTTAGTGTAATGCCTAGCTCCTAACAGAAGTTCTGGTGCACGATACCAAAATGTAACTACAACAGGATCAAGATCAGCAAGTGGTTTTAATGGAGCATTAAATAAGCGGGCAAATCCCATATCAGCAATTTTAACTCTACCTCTTTCTGGACCTTCACCCATAACAAGAATATTAGCTGGTTTCTAGTATATTAAAATAATTATTATCAATAATAGTTTATTAGAAAAGAAATCTATTTTTTGTATAAAATTAAAAAATTACTAAGTCTCTATGTAAAACCCAATTTGAATGTAAATAATGTATCCCATCTAATATTTGAAAAAGCAATGACTTAACCATTCCTTTTGGCACCATTACTGGTTTTTTATTGGCTTTTGCAGCCCTGTGAAACTTTATTATATGCTAAAATAAATAAAAACTAAGTTAATTATTAACGCAATAATTTAACACAATGAGATTATATACCCAAAGATCATGTTCAGCATAGTCAAATAATAACCACACTTTTCTATCATTATGTGATAAAAAAACACGGATTAAATTTATAACATTTGGATGTTTTAATTCCCGTAATAACTATAATAACAAATAAATGAAAAAATCAGTAAAATTCTGAATAATGTGATAACACCAGTGAATGAACACCATTTAGTTTTTAACTAAAAAATTATCTAATTTGATTTAAATAAGTTGATGTTAGTAGTTTTTATAAAAAAGATAACATTTAAATCAACTCAATATCACAATTTTTTAAATAATATGCTAACATTAGAATAATTTATTAGTTCATTTACTGGAAAATCCCAAATTTCAATACAAAATTATAAATTAAAGTTATTGTGTTAGGTAGTTATAAATATTTTTACATTATTACTATACAAAAATATCCAGAGAATAAATATTTATTTCTTTTTTGAGTGTTACATCAAAATATAAATTTATAAAGAACTTTAAAATATGAAAAGTCCTTAAATGTTGATTCACTGGTCAAATCACCTTACAAATAGTCATACTATTTTTTTGATTTTATAAATAAATTATTACTTACAGCGATTTCACGACAAGCTGACATTGAAAGTCCTGTACCCTCAATTTGTTTTAAAGCAAAATCTTTACTATTATCCCTATATTTACAGGAAATAATTATTGAATTGTAAAATAAAAATAGTAAGAACTAAGAAATTACACAATGATTTACACACTATCAATTGAAATTTATATAATTTTTTTTATGCACTAGCATTAAAATTAATGTATGAAAACATTTAGTAAATAAATAGTACTTAATAACAAAAATGTTTATGGATTAATTTAGTTTTTAATTTTAGTCAAAACAGTATTTAAACATACCCATCTTTTCTTCTTGCTTTATACACATGTCCATAAGTACCTCTTCCTACTTTACATCCTTCATAATCAAAAAGTTCTTCAACTTTGGCTCTTTCATTGCCAGTTTTGATTTTAAATTCGTAATCCATTAAAATTCTTTATTTAGAATTATATTTCAATAAATCTTAAACAATTGTTGAATTGAAGAAACACTACTTCAGCAACATTTTTTCTTTTCAATAAATTAAAAATTGTAAATAATACTGCAATTGTTATATATTAGATGGTATAAATTATTTAATAATTATCTAAACATTTTATTCATTACATCTTTACATATTTACACTAATAATTTGAAATATTAAAAATAATAAATTGAAGTCTAATTACAAAAATAAAAAATGATATGATTAAATGATGTCATATATTAGCAATTTGAAAGTATTTTATAAAATAAGTCTTGAATTAACTATTGTATGGAAGGAGATAATTTTGTTCTTTTCAAACATCAACAAACAATTTTTTGATAACAAAGCCGGATAATTGTAGCTAATACCTAAATAACCTATACCAAGGTCTTAGAATATTAGGTCGGCAAACTTCATCTTATCAGTGTTCCGATTATAAAGTCAGTGTTGACTTTAAAAACTTGGTTTTTAGGGTGGGTTATACAGATTGATTTTAACCATAACTACTCAATTTCTTTTAGAATATTAAGTTTTTAAAATCAATTTTCGGTTGTTATAAAATTGTCTTTATTTTCATCCCTTTTGTCTTATAGGACAAAAAAAAAATTAAAAAAAACATATTATTTAAAGAGAAATTGAGTGACTAGCATTAAAACAATCGCTCTATATAAGCATAAATATTTAAGTGGACACAATTTACTTTTAAACCACCAATTCTCTTAGAAACGGTGTTTTTTCGGAAACATCTGTAACGTTTTCGGCTTAATTGCCGGAAATATAATATAGTGTGGGGAAGAATACACCGACCTTATCATTCGAGGGCGTGACTGAAACTGAAAAATTCAGTTTAGACAGTTGTGATAAGAGATTATTGTAGAAGATAGGACTTTGAAAAGCAATAAATTATAAATATTAGTAAAATGTATATAATCGTACTATTTTTGTGTTTATTTAAATAATAAGTGATATGGGTCTTTTAAAACATAATCCGTTAAGTTAACCTTTTATGACACAATTTTTTTAATCACGTATTTGGGTAAAAAGTCTATTTAAATGTGTTATGATTTATAAAAAACAAAGTTACTTTCATAAAATTAAAAAAATTGATGTTTTAAATTTTTCAATTTAAATTTGAGATAAATATATTTAACAAGATGAAAATTTTTGGAAGTTTTTAAAAAAGATTTTAAAATGACTAGATACAGAATACACTTATGTAATCAAATGAGGCATTTGCCTCTACATCAGTTGTAACGAGACAATGCACATTCATTTGTTATGTTGTCGTCTTATCAGACATCGAAAATTTATCTATGTTTCCTTCTTTTTTTCTTTTATTTTGTCCTTAATTTATGTGATTATTATCCCTTTAATTTTCAAATTCTTGCAAGTATCGACTACTAACAAGTCCTTTAGTACTCAGCAGTATATAGTGCCTCGGGATTATCCAGTGTTTAAAACTATCACTTATTGTTCATTTTATAACTGCTTTAATATTTACAAATGTAGTCATAAATTAGATGGAAGTTTTAAAGTGTATGTATATCCTGCAGCAAAATATGTTGATCATGTAGGCATATCAGTTGGAGGCAAAATGTCTAGAGAGTATCAGTCTATTTTAAATACAATAATAAATAGTCATTATTACACAAACAAACCTGCAGAAGCATGTGTTTTTATTCCTTCAATCGATACTTTAAATCAAAATCAGTATCGTGCTAAAGAAACATCACAAGCATTAGGAATGTTGCCATAGTAAGAATATTTTAAAAATTATTTTATATATTTTCTATAATAATAATATGAAAATGTTATTTTAGTTGGAATGAAGGACTCAACCATATTATATTTAATATGGTTCCTGCAAATGCACCTGAAAGTAAAACTTTGTCTGATTTATCGATTGGTAAAGCTATAGTAGCTGGCTTTGGCTTTAATACATGGACTTATAGACCTTCATTTGATATCTCTATTGGAATTTATAGTAAAAAAGCTTCTCAACTTAGTATAAATTACAGATTTACTTATAGGTAAATTAAATATTACTAGAATTCAAAGGCGTACCCAAGAGAGCCATACCTCTCTCATTGACAGCAATATTCACTTTTAAAATTAAGTGATGAGCAAAAAAGAAAAATTAAAATATAGAATTTTATAGATTTTTTATTATACCCCCATTATGAAATTATGGCACACCACTGTTAGAATCATATGTTATAGATCAATCATTTATTTATTTCACTTATATTTTTAGATCTATCTTCATTACTACTACACAAACTAACCTTCACCCTGTTTTTATGGCTCAATTAAAATATATTGAACAAGGAAAAAATCTGCTTCGAGTTTTGGAAAAATGTTCTAATACAATAAACAATAGATCTCTAGTTTGCTATGGAAATAATACATATGATTACCCAAACATTTTTATTGTAAGAATATTTTACATAATTCTTGTTAAGTAAAAGTATTAATTTTTTATTAAAAAAGTGGATTTTTTAATTTAGACTAATAGTATTGAAGAAGAAAAATTGTAATAATAAAATATCTATTATTATGTTTGTTATGATTATATTCATAATCCCAATAATTGTGTTTTAAATTTCAGGATAGCACATATTGCTTGATATTACCCGGATCTAGACAAATAGATATTTCTTTAATGTATGCTCTTGCTTCTGGATGTATACCTATTGTTGCTATAAATGATGTTGTTTTACCTTTTTTTGAAGTTATTGATTGGAAGAGGTATATGCATTAATTTATTTTGATATAAATTTAATCAAATTGAATTTTAATTTTTATACTAATATATATATATATATATTTTTTTTTTTTATCTAAAAAAGAGCTGTGATTTTATGGAATGAAAATGAATTGCATACCTTAATAGATAATATTTCTGGTATACCCCTTGATAGGCGAAAAGAAATGTCAGCTCAATGTCAATGGCTTTATTACACATATTTATCTTCATTACAAAAGATTACTATGACTACATTAAAAATAATGAGTCAAAGACTACATCCTCATACAGCTAATTTTTATGAAGATTGGAATATGAGACCAAACCCCGTAGGTTGTTTATAATTTTACTGTTTGAACCTTGGAAACTTACAATTATTAATACAATTATATCTTTCATATTGTTTAATTTTTATACAATTTTACAATTATTTTTTTTACTAAAATATAATGTAAATGTTTATCATTCCAACATTAGATATTTACTTTTAGTTTCCAAGTTTTTGGTATATCTTTTTTTCTAATTGTACTATTATATTATTTGAAAATGTAATGTGTTAATATTTATTTATTTTTTTAGGATTCAGCAAGAAATCCATTATTTTTACCATATATGTCTGATTCTTTTGGCTTCACAGCTGTAATACTGACATATGACAGGATAGATAGTTTATTTAAATTAATAGATATGGTTAAAGGTGCTCCAAGTCTTGAAAAAATTATTATTGTTTGGAATAATCAATATAAATCACCTCCACACTGTATTATTCTATTATAATTTTTATTCTTGCATGTATATTAATTATATAGTTATATATTTAATAGTTTCAGCTTGGCCAAAAACAAGAGTGCCTTTAAAAATTGTAAAAACATCAGCCAACAAATTATCCAATCGGTTTTATCCTTATAAAGAAATAGAAACAGAAGCAGTACTATCATTAGATGATGATATATTGATGCTTACAATTGATGAAATAGAATTTGGATTCAAAGTGAGTTAAATATTTCTTGTCCCCGATAATCAATATTTTATTTTTCACAAAATACTATTAATACTGGATTACTGCATATGCTAAGATTAATTCTTTTTTGGGGTTTTTTTTCTTAAATAATTTAAAAAATTTTTATAATTCTATGTACATAAATTTTAAAGAGAGACAACAGAGTGGCTAGATGAGACATAGGAGGGTTAAGCTCTCATCCTATGCCTATATAGATAACATATTTAATGTAATATATTAGCTATGCTATACACTCATAAAAGTTATAATCATTATGTAATATGATATGTATGTCATAATTATCATTATGTTCTTTTTCCACAAAAATTATTCTTGACATGTACTCAGTTATAAATTTCTAGATACAATATTTCTTACATATTTGTTTACATTTGTAAAGGTATGGAGAGAATTCTCTGATCAAATTGTTGGGTTTCCTTCGAGAACTCATGTATGGAATAATAAAACCAATTCTTGGAAGTATGAATCTGAATGGAGAAATGAAATATCAATGATTTTGACTGGAGCAGCTTTTTATCATAAGGTATAGATTGTAACATGACAAAAAGTAAATCCTTCAATATCTATTAATATATTTAATATGATATTGATAAATTTAATGTTTTGTTTTGCTGTGTACATTATTTCTGATCATGTAATCAGAAAACTACACTGTTGCTAACACAAAGCTATACACATTTTACAATACTCTTTATCAAACTAGTAATCATTCTCTATATGCCATCACTGTCAATACCTGTATAATTTTAATACATTTAATAATTTTCTTCATATCAATTTTAAAGTCGATATCCTCGCCTAAATTGTTATAGTTGAACAATTTAATGAACTCTCTTCTTTATAAACTACAGTAGTGGTCTGCTAAAAAAAAAATGTTATAAGTTTTTTTTTTGGTGTCAGCCATTTTGGGGGCTGAGATTCCTATTTTAGGATGAGTCCCGTCCAGTATTGGGTTTATTTAAAATTAAATTACCCCAAAAAGTTTCTTTAATTATTTTAATAAACAAAAACTTTATTGTATGAATATTTTTAATGTTCACGTATCATATTTTTTTTTATATTTAATGATTTTCCTAATTTTTATGGTAATGCTCTTCAACATACTAATGTGTGTTAACCACTAGTGTCATCAAATTAAGTATATTTTACTTTATTTATTTTAACTCATTTGACCACCTTGGGTGGTTAGTGACCACTTATGTGAGGAGATTGATTATAATAAAGGACACCCAGCCAATAAGTGGTAAATTTCTAGTAGGTCTCAAATAAGTTTGAAATAAAAAAAACATTTTTATTATGTAGTTTGGCTGATATTTATGTCTATTATAAGTAGAAAAAAATTGTTCATTAATTTTAAAAACTTATATTTTATTTTATATCATATAATAATGCTAATTATGATATTCACGCTATCAATTTTCGGCTTAGAATTTTGAAACTAAAAAATTTGTATTCTACAGTAAAAATTAAACTATTTTGATATATTACTCATAATATTTGACCGAAAATTGAATAACAGAGGCCGTTTTTTGTTGCTGGAGTATTATTGGTCAAAATACTAAGAACGCCTTGAACGACCAATAAAATTTTTTTTAAAAATCACAATTTTCACAAAATGCTTATTTAAATATATATAATAAAGTTAAAAGGGTGCTCATTTTAATTTTGATGATTGACTTTTTTTGATCACCCTAATATATATTTATTTGTATATAAATTTAATTTCAATGATAAATTTTATTTTAACATATATGTTAATTCAATTATCCTTTTTTATTAATTCTTTAATATTTACTTATTGTTCGGTTGTTCTTTTTTTCTAATTAATCCCTTCAGATAAGTGGTTAGTAACCTGATTTTTCTTTACCTCAAGATATCATGAGGGTAGCACCTCCATAAACCGTTGTATTTTTCAAGTTTTTACATCTCAAGATTTTTTTGTTTTATATTATATACTTATTGTTGGCTCACTAAAATAAAAAAATATGTTTATTTTTTTCATTAGTATTGGAACCATGCATACACTTATATTATGCCTAATAAGGTAAAAAAAATGGTTGACGATCAAATGAATTGTGAGGATATAGCTATGAATTTTTTGGTATCTAATACAACTAACAAGGGTCCTATCAAAGTAAGTCTATTTAATAGGTATGTTTTAAAAAAAATTTTAATAAAAAATCAACAAAATAAAGGTTACGCCCAAGAAAAAATTCAAGTGCCCACAATGCAAAAATACTGAAATGTTATCAGTTGATGAAGGACACATGGCTGTAAGAACATCCTGTATTAATAAGTTTACTAAAATTTTTGGTAGAATGCCACTAAAAGCTGTTGAATATAGAGCTGATCCGGTTTTATACAGAGATATATTACCAAAAAAATTAAAAAGATACAATAATATTGGTGATTTATAGAATTATAATTTTTAATTGTTTTATATATTTATTAATATGATCTAGTTATATGTAATAATATTAAATATGTTTGTAATATTTATATAATAAAATCAATTTTTCTTATTACTATTACTATTTTTATTATTAACATTATTTTACCTGTATATTAAAATTGATCTCCTTCATATAATCTAAGTTGTTTATTTACTTTTAATTTAATGTTTACTTCTATACATTTTGTAAATAAAATAAGGTTGTTTACATGTTATGGATTTTAAAATGAAGACTTAAATATATGTTACCATAAATTTATGTAATTTACATGCCATAATTTTTATTTTTTTTAATTGTGTCAATTATGAACAAATTATTGAGTATGTTTTTTTTTACTTTTTAATTTAATTTATTTTTTAAATAATTTTGTATTGTCAGTTATATTTAATATATTCAAACTCTGATGTTATAAAATATTTAGGCATTTTTTTTAATGCAAGGTTAAATATGTTAAATATTCTTATTTTATTATTTATTATATTTATTATTATTGTTTATTTTTAAAATGAATGTAATTCATTGTAATGTCATTATTGTTAATTGTTTGTCATTCCATACTTGCAATAACATAGTAAAAATTATGTATCTATACAGATTACCTTTATACTTACAGTTGTTTGGCTAATTATCTATTTAGTTTTTGTAAAAATTGCTTTTGTTTAATTAAATTTGTTTTTGGCAATATTTTATATCTCGAATCTAATAGTAAATGTAATTATAATTAAATGACTAAATAGGGTCATAAAATATAGCTATTTATTTTTTTATTTTTATAGAATATTTATAAAATAAATATTTAATATCATACTAATTTTACTATAGACATAGATTAAATAATTTGTGTTTAAAAACTAGTTTTACATTTATTTACAAAAGACTGGAAATAAACTCCATAGAAAATTTCTCTTCCACAATGTCTTCACCAATTGAAAAGAGATTATTTGTAAGAACTATACAAAACATGTCCTGATTTTTACTTTCTTTTAATTGGAATTATTTTGTACAGTTAAAATGTTACTCAAAAATTCTTATTTAATCTTTATATAGACAATGTTAGACTTGAAAAAATTGTCATATCTAAGGTTTAAATTCTACTGGAAGTTTAATAAAATAGAGTACTTAAATATTGGTTATGTACAAATCTAAAAAATATGAAAAATCGTACATTTCACTTTAAAGTCAATTTGTTTTTTTATTGGTAACTAGCATCTAATAATTCTTTTTATTTATAAAAATTTCAATTTTCGAGAAAATTTGTATTTTTTTAATAGCCTACACTGCGTTTTCATCCCTCGCCTTCCACTACCAATGATATCAACCTCCCATCATTCTGAGTTTCAAAAATCGAATTGTTTACAACGCTGACACTACTAGAGTACCACCACCCCGTTGTGAAAATATCCCTCTTATATGTGTTTCTTCTGTACTGCGCCGCTTTTCCGAGTTTCTGACAGTCCATTAAGTTTTTGTTCTAAATTAAGAGGATTTTTGTGCTTACTAACGAAATAGTAAAGCGAATATTTTAGTAATTAATGCTCTATCGGTAAAATGAAGCTGAAAACTATATCAGAGACGTTCAATAAAGATGAGTTGTTTAAAAAGGTAATTTCATGCTGAATTTTTCATGAATTGTTTTCATGTTCAGAGTTATATTTTGTTATTGTTACACCCTCTCATCTGTAACAGGTAGGCTCTCACTAATAAAAATTAATTTACTTGTGAATGATGTGTAAAGTGACTGTACAACTGTAATTATTTTCCATCAATTAAATTGATATTAAATATTTTCGTTAAAAGATTTGTTAAAGACAAATTCCTTTTATTTTTACAAAATTTATGTTTTATATTAAAATATTTTAAATTAACTTAATATAATAGTTAATTTTTTATAACGTTTTTAATTTGAAATCTATTTGTGGTATAATAGAAAGTACATGTACATTAGATAATAGTATACATTTTTTTATCAACATAATTTATTGAATTTTTAAAAATTCTTTTTTAATTTTATATTTTATTTTAATGAATTTCCTAATAATTTCTTACAAATTTTTAATGTTAACATTATTATTCAAAAATAGATACCTTAATAATGTTAAACTATTTATTTAAAGCTGAATTGTGTGTGTGTTATATTACAGGTTTGGAATCTTTCAGCTGACCATTGTATGGATGTAGTTTTGATGATGTTTTCACATGCTGATGGGACAACACTTCTTGGCACTCACAAGCTAGAGCAATTTATTGTAACAACTGAACTATGCCAATTTACTTCAAAAATATGCAATCGACCTCCACTTTATCGTCCTACTTTAGACTGTACTGTTGCAAATGATTTTGTTTCTACTGAATTTGAGCGATATATTGATTTGGTCGAAGACAATGTAAGGCAATACAGTTTAAATGCATTTAATTTGATATAATAATAAAATACTCAACAAGTATTATAGATAAAATTCATACTTTTTTTCAATAATACAAAAATTAGCGAATGAAAATTTATGTTCAAGACCAGATTTAGTTAGAAAAAATTTTCTTAATATTTGTGTAATTTGCGGGCAAACTAAAATGTGTAAGACTATCAACTAGTTAATTTTAAATTTTGTCAAAGTGGTGTTCTTCTCCCCATACCACATGAAAGATCTGTCTCTGTACTAAATATGTAATAAACAAGAATTGCTGAAAATAAAGAATGAAATTTAAAAGAAAATTTTTTGCTCATATTTGCTAAAAACTATAGTATATTAAACAAAAAATTAATAAATAAAAGTTTTTAACTATCTGAAATTGCATTAAAAAAAAAATCTGATTAAATATTATACTTCAATTGGTTTTAATTGTTTATTTAAAATAAAAAAGTTCATGTCAAAACGTTTATGATATTGTAAATTTAGTCATTGAAAAAGAATTTTTTGTCAGTTAATGTATGAAAATTATACTTTTCAATTTTTTTCTTAGGCATACGAGTTATCAAGTGTTCCTAACAGCGAAGTACTTGTCATCATTGCAAATAATGAGTGTCGCAAGTTTATATTTGCTTCTCCACGTTTGAGGCCTTATATTACATCTAAAGAGTGCATTTCATTAATTGAAGGTTGCTTGGGAAAAGGTACATTCACTGCTCATCAAGAATCCAATATGAATAAATAGCAATTAATAACTTTTGCATCACTAAAAGTAAGCTTAATTATTTTATTGTAAAATTAAAGATTCATTTTATAGTAATGAATAGCATAGGACAACAGCCGTTTTGCTATCTTAAATATTTAGGTGTACTATGTAAGATTTTTTGTTGCTCGTTTTGAACCTGGCATATAAAACCCATCTAAATATTGTAGACATCAGAAATTTTTTTATTATTTACTGTCTTATGTAATTATTACTGTTTATAGCTTATTTAATCTTATGTTACCTACCTTAATTAATTGAAGTCTACTGTGTCCTAGTGATAGTCATATCAATCTTATTTTGACCCTTGGAACTTAGTTTTAAGTCTTTCTTTTTCTTTTTCTCATGTTTTCAGATATATTTTTCTTTTAGCGTCAAAAATTTCCTAATTGCTTTTTCAAGTTTTTTGTAGTAGTTTTTATTTTATCTACATATAGCTCATGTTTAAATTTGTACATTCTATCTACCATTTCTGCCTTCTTTGATGACTTGTTACATTGTAATGCTATATTAGTACTTAATTTGTTGTTTGATTGATTTTTATCTTATTTATGCTGTTTGAATTACCTTAGTTTTAATTTCATTACTACATTATGGGATTATTAACTTATTATTATGAATTAAATTTTTATCCCATCATCCATATAAAATTTACTATCCATCTCATCATCTTTATTTTAATTTAAAAAAAAGTGTGTTGTATTCTTATGGCTTCCATTTAATAAAACAAGGTTATTTATTTAGCTGTTCATATAATTTTCATTAGTTTTTGAAAAACTTCTATTATTGCTATAATATTAATGTGTTTTTTTTTCACGGTAATTTATAATTAGTAAAGTAAAAGTAACAAAAATATTTTAAAATAAAATAATTTTTTATTTTATTTTTTTTTTCAGAATTCAGTGTTGCTAAACGTCTCCTCGTGACATATAACAGTCTTCTTAGAAATTCAGTCTAAAAGTACTTACCTTTATGCTTGCCTGATCTTTCTATTTATTAATAATAATATTAGTAGAATTAAAATAACTTATAGTATTAAACTATTATTAACTAATTTATTTATTAAGAATTATTTATAGTATTGGCCCTTAAAAAATAATAGTAGTGTCAAAAGTTACCTTTTATTCAAGACTTATTGTTTTGTTTTTATATTTTAATGATGATAATTTCTATTTATTATATTTACTTTAATTGCCTAAAATTTATTTTAATTAATTTTTTTTGATTGACACAAATATGTTAATAGTATTTTATCATAAATATATATATATTTATTTTTTATTGTTTATAAGGCTGTAAATGTTGCATTAGATCTCATTATATTTATTTAATTTTTTTTTATTATTCAAAAAATATTATTTACACTATAAGATTGCCAATAAGAAGTAATACTACACAATATCAATGACACTTGAATACAGGATGTTCAAGAATTTTAATATGTTCACGAGTGAGACTGGGTAGACAGTATGCTACTTAATTTATATTTATATTTTTGTTTTCAATTGTTTGATTGTGTGACTTGTATGTTTATATATTTAGTGTTTTTTGTGTTGTTATTTATAATTTTGATTTCTTCATTAAATGAATAGTTTCATTTATCAACTGTAAATCTTTTATTATACGAATTGAAATACATTTCATTCTACTAATTGTTACTGTCTTATACAATTATTATTAATCAAATTTCATTAAATTTATCATAATGCCAATGCAAAATTCAAGTCAAAATGTTTTTTTTTAATCTATTGTTATTAAAATATAAGATTAGGAAAATATGTCATTTTTCACTAAAAAAATTGAAAGGGAAGGGAGAAGAACACCTACTTAAAATACTTATTTATTTTAGTATGTCGCGGTCGCTTCTCATTTCCGGTGTTACCACCGGATGGCGATCGCGGCGCTTCCTCTTCACGTCCGACAGGTCGCGCTATTTGCGGTGACCGACGGGCGGTGAGAACCGGTCGCTCGGAGCTGGATATAGATTGATTCGTTTTTTTCTTCGATCTGTCACGCTGACCTTTCATGAGGAACTAAAGATAATTTTATTTAATTATTGGATAATTAAGATTATTGTTGTAGTGACTAATAAAAAACGCTATTGGTTTACTTATTATTATTATTGTTATCATTATTATTATAATTACTACCTCGAACACATCAAGTACTAATGTTTACCTTAGTTTTAGTCAGCAATTTACATACAGCCTGAAGACCTTATTTTCTTTGCTCATTAAATTTTAATGTAAATATTTTAATTAATTACTGTTAAGCAATTATTCTAAAATCTATTATTTATTCTTTTATTCAATATTTCCTTTATCAAATGGTAAATTTAAAATACATTTTAAATATTAATTAAAAACTTGAAATATTAAATATTAACTCAAAACCCCCAAAAAAATATTAATAAATTTCATATACATATTTCACATTTATTTTTCTTAGCTAAATATGTAAAAATAATACAAACTATGGTAATCGCTCTTTTTTTTTTTTTTATCACCACAATCCAGAATTATTACATTAGTTGACAATTTTATGATAATTAAAATAACATTTTAAAATATATTTGAGATATATTTAAAAATTAAAAAAAACCAGCACAGTGGGGACGTAGTGTATTTGAGTATAGTATAGATGATATCTGACAGTGATCAAAATCACTATCATAAAAAACGCTTCGATGCAAATCTGTAGATAGTGTTTAATTTTAAGAAATTGGTAGATTATTTCAAAAACAACTAACACTAGTTCCCTTAATTTTATCCCTATTTATAATTATAATATATGAATACATAATAATTATAGTAATTAAATTTAGTATGAGATTGATATTCAATAATATAATATTGTAATTTTTACGGAGATATTATAAAAATTTAAAGGGATTGATGTAATACTTTTTAATAAAAAAATATTGTTACTTATGAATAATAAATACACTAGACTACATGGAACTTTTATCAGAAACAAAAATATACTTTTTTAAATCAATTTTTCGCGATGTTTTCAAATGTGCAATTAGACTTTTTCTATCACTTCTAAGTTTTAATATTATTACTTATTATTAAAAAATAAGTATTTACATATAAAAAAAAAATTATTAAGAACAAAAAAAAATTGTTTTAAATTAATACTGATTTTGATTATTAATATGTTAAAAATAAGGAAAATGACATATTTAACCTATTTTTTTAATCGTTTAAAGTCAATTTTTGTAAGTGTTTACAATAAAAAAAAATGTATTTATTTTACCATAACTTTTAGCTTAATTGGCAAGTTTGAAATTGACATCATTAAATAGAAAATTTTATGAAAATTAAAAAAATTATACCGTTAAGGTTAATATGCAGTTAGGAAGTTTTATAATCACTATTTATAGTAAATTTATCAGAGTAGCTTAATATTTTTTTGCATTTTTATCGTAATAGATAACTGAAATAGAAATAATAGTAATCATTACCTAGTAACTTTTGGTGTTTAAAAAGATTCTACAATTGAAATATTCAGAACTTAATTAATTTTAATGATTTATTTTAACTAAATGAACCAATCAAAGAAAGTTGTTAAAAAGATTTACTCAATTGAGCGTATTATAAAATTTAATTATAATTGTAAAAATCTATTGTTTTAGTTATTAATTCAGGAGAAACTAACAATCATTTTTTTTAAAAATGATTTATATAGCAACATTTTACAAAAAAAATTGGAATATTATAGTCTGTAATCTGTCTGTAGCACACACAGATAAAGTAAAAAAATGATTAAATTACAAAGTAAAATTATTTAATTTTGTAGTTGAAACCTATCATATCAAACTTGATTCATCAATAATTACTTTGAAAACATTAGAAATGAATGATTTTAATTATCTGTATGGAGAACATAGGATAAGTAACTGTTTAATTGATAAATTAGAATTTTTTTTCAATTTTTGAGGGTAATATCTTCAACTAGATACGAATTGTAGTCATTTGACGTATCGTTGAAAAAAGTAGGTCAAATTAGAGCAGAGAAAATAAATGATAATCACAAAAAAATATCTTTTCAGCTTTGCATCGAAGGTAAAACTTAAAATATAGTAAAGTAATTTTAATAAGAATAAGAAATTTCTTCTCGCGAGTGGCCACTACAGTGATGGGATTCTTGATCTTTAATGAAGTTATTGAATCTAAATGAGATTAAAATCAAAGGAGTTGTAAATTTATTCTAACTTAAAAAGAATTAAGAAAAAAATGCAAACAATTTTTGCCATAGGCGGGTTGGAATCTTGTACTCCAAGCGCGAAAACACACAAGTTTTATCGACCGGCAACCGTACGTCACTAACGTCGTATGAAAAAATGAAAATTTAAGCTGGTTCGAATTTCAAAGTTATTTNTTGAAAAAAATGACAATTTAAGCTGGTTCGAATTTCAAAGTTATTTTTTTCTACTTAAAAAAGCAAATAAGTTTAACTTTGTATGCTATATCAATTTGATTTATATGATATTTATGAAAATCAGTGTACTCCCCTTGTCAGGTATTTTAAAATAAAATAAAATACAAAACCCAGAATTTTAACACAAAATTAGCATATTTTTGTATACGGTAGTCATTTTCACCACGAAGACAAATCCAGAGGTCAAATTTTTTTTTTAAATTAAATTATATTACTTAGTATAATTTAAGATATATTTAAAAGTGTCAGTAGTATTAGTTCTAGAAAACTTTCAAAAAATAAATTGAAAGTGTCCTAGTTTCAATAAGCATGTTTAAAGTTTTGACCCCTCTTGTATAAAGGGGTATGATTCGTTTTACAAAAAAAGTGTGTCATATGAAAGAGGTATATAAAAATTGTTTATAAAAAAAACCCAGCACAGGAGGGTCACGGCACAGTGGTGACGTGGTATAGTTGGATCAAGTATAATGATATCTGACAGTGATTAAAATCACTATAAAAAAAAAACGCTTCGATGCAAATCTTTAGATAGTGTTTAATTTTAAAAAATTGGTGTATTATTTCAAAAAGTACATGAACTGCTAGTTCCTTATTAATATCCTGATTAAGATAAAGTATGTCGAATGAAAAAGTGATTATTAAAAAATATTATTTCTCATAAAAAAATTGTGTGGATCCATAAACTTTTCAATAAGTTATAGTATTATAAAATTAAATATAATATAAAAAATAAAATCGAGAATTTTCACACGAAAATAGCATTCAGTAGCCATTTTCGCCGTGAAGACAAGTCCAGAGGTCAAATTTTTTTTTTCCAAATTAAAGTATATTACATAAGATTTACTTTAAGATATATAAAAAAGTGTCAGATCTTCCGGAATATTTTCAAAAGTTAAGTTGAAAAAGTTAATTTTTTGTGAAAAAGTTGTCTTTTTAAATCCCCCCCTTTGGGCAGATAAAGGGTCAGATTTACAAAAAAAATACACCAAATGATAAGTAAAAACATCAAACATCTATATAAAAAAAAATTATATTGATATGTTCATTTTTGAAAATGTTACGGCACATTTTAGTAAAAAAAATTGAAAAAATTTCGAAAATTAGCGATTTTTAAATTTGTAATTTTTTTGGAAATTTCCCCTATTTACTGTGAACGAGGGAAATTTTTTCAATTTTTAAGGGTAATCCCTTCAATTAGATACGATATGTGATCTTTTGACATATTGTTCATCAAAATCGGTGCAGCGAGAGCTGAGATTAAGCGTTCACAGACACAAAAAAAAAAAAAATAATAAAAAAAAACACATCATAGTAAAATTAATACCTTCTCAGCTTTGCATCTAAGCTAAAAATGTCATTAAGGCTACTGTGTTATTAGTAAAGTAACTTTTTCATATTAACGTTATCAAATATTTTCTTCACATGTTCCACACATTTGAGTTAATGATTTTATTCTTTGTCCATACTATATAGGTAAATATACAGTTTGCAAACAGCAGCATTGTTGCAAGCATTTTGCTACAAGTTTTTTAAAGACAAAATAATGTCCGTACAGTGTTATCTTGCATTCTTGCTCTTATGTTTGTTTATGTCAAGGTGTCATGACTGTTATTGTCTATAATAGTCTAATTTGTTTTGATGATTATTTGACGTTATTTTATGAATAACGTTGTTCCATCTACAACGTTTATCGTTATTCCTATAATACCGATATTATAAATAGTTCGTATAAAGTTTTTTTAATAACGTTATCACAATTTAACGTATTATATTATTATTTTATATCGTTATCAATAACGTATATCATCCCTGCTGACACGTATAAGTGTTATCATTTTAAAAATACACATGATTTACTGACTTGAAGTTTGAAACATAAGTATTGTCGAAATTTGTTTAATTACATAGCTGTCTGATTAAATTAACTGCAAAAGTTAATCAGATTTACTCGTCTAAGTTGTAGTAATAATGAATTATTTTTGCTACTAGTACAATAATTCATTATATTTTAACATGGTTTAATATGTTTCAAGTAAATTTTAAGTTAGCTTCAATAAATTAATGTTTTATACACCATTTGCTCATCAATGGACTCTAACACATGTTTCTCATTTAATTTGCTTTGGTAAGTTACTAAAATTTATGTTTCTTTCTACAAAATAATTTTTAACCATCTAAACGATTTAGATACAATTTTTGTTCATTATGGCGTTTTGGTATTTTGAAAAGGATGAATTACATAGGACTGCTTCAGCTCAAGATGGCATACCATATGAACTTGAATGTCGATATCGACAAGAAGGTGCACGATTCATCATTGATGCTGGAACCAAAATGGACTTGGGGTATAATACCATGGCAACTGGAGTCGTGTACTTCCATCGCTTTTATATGTATCACTCATTCAGTACTTTTCCACGATATGTAAGTTGGATGTTTTATTTTTATTTTCATTCTAAAACTTAGTCTAATTACCATTTTGGTACTCAAGAAAATTAAAATTATTGGAAATTTAATACTATAATATAATTAATTGTTTTTTCAGAATTTTTATTATATATTCGCTGTTTTCATTCACTTAAATTTATAATTTTTTTATCATCCTATAGAAATATTTAATTGTGTTCTATGTTTTAATTTCAAAAACTTTTCTATGGACACAATTACTAGAAAATTTACTTAACAACAATATTCTTTATACCAACAAATTTGTATATTTCAAGGTTTCCTAATTAAATTTCTTAAATTATTTAGCAGACATTTCCTTGTTAATCATACACTTAAATCATATTTTATAAATTAAAAGAATGTCAATTTTTATTTTATATATATATACATATTTAACTAGCTTATAATATAAAATATTATTTAATGAAAATAATTTAACTTCAACTTAATTCAAACTTTTGTCCAGTTTTGTGGAAGATCTAACAAATTTATAATGTGGACTTGGAGAGAAGTGTGGGTATGGTTATTTCTATTAGTAGACATTTCAGCATTACATTCTTCTTGTCCAAGCTTAAAAAAGTTTAAAACTTATGAGGTACTGATTACAAATTTGTTATCAACCGATCATTTTTTTAATTAGATAATTACCTATTTTATATGTTTAAGTTAAAAAATAAAGTTAACACCCTTATAAGTTATAAGGAATAAATAAAAAAAGTGATTAATATCTGATAAATTAAATATATATAAAACCAAAACAATTTTTTTCAACATAGTACTTATTTTATGAATAAATTAGAGGGTAATGACAAACTGGTCTGCTGTATATAAAAACATTTAACAAAATATATTTTATGTATTTTTTAAACAAAAATAAATTGTACTTGTTTAAATGTTTTTTATTAGTCCTTTAATTACTTTAAGACAAAAGGTAGATGTATAATTTATTTAGTCATATTGACCAACCACATTTATTATGTACATTAGCTATTAGACAACAATTTTTTATTTTTTAACTACTATTATTTTTGACCAACTCTTAATTATAAATAAATTCTGGTAATTTTAGCTTACAGCTTGTTGTTGTTTGTTTCTTGCTGGTAAAGTGGAAGAAACACCGAAAAAATGTAAGGATATTATTAAGATAGCAAAAGCATTACTACCAGAAGATAAATATGATACCCTTGGTCTAGATCCTAAAGTAACTTAAAATATTTATTTTTTATCTATTGAAGTTTATAATATAATTGTTTTTTCATTGTAATTGTAGGAAGAAGTAATGGTTCTTGAACGTATTTTGCTTCAGACTATTAAATTCGATTTGCAAGTTGATCACCCTTATCAATTCTTGTTGAAATATGCTAAATGTCTTAAAGGTTAAATTATATTAATTTTTTTTTTAAGTTTTTTCCTTAATATTTTGATTATATTTTATAGGAGATAAAGCTAAACTTACTAAAATGGTTCAAATGGCATGGACATTTGTAAATGATAGGTAATAATCATTATAATAATATTTGTTATTACTATTAAGGATAATATTTTTAAATTAATATGCATTTAAGTAATGTTAAAAGAATATAATAAGTTAATTAACGATTTAAATAAAAGTTTTATTATAATTTTTAATAATAATTTTAGTTTATGCACTACTCTTTGTCTTCAATGGGAACCAGAAATAATAGCTGTTTCTTTGATGTACCTTGCATGTAAACTTAGTAAATTTGAATTAAATGATTGGCAAGGTCGCATGCCTAATCATTCACGTTGGTGGGATATGTTTGTACAAGGCATGAACATGGATCTACTTGAAGGTTAGTTTAGCACATTAATGAATTAATTCATAGTTAATGTTGTATTTTTATTGAATTTATAGATATCTGTCATCAAGTACTTGATTTATACTCGTCTCCAGTTGAAAAATCAGCACCTCCTTCTCCACCTTGTCAAGAAAAATTTATAGTGCCTAAAAAAATAATACCTCCACAATCTATATATCAGAAATTATTGCTACAAAAAATGGCTATAAAATATAGTAAGTATAGTTTACCTCAAATGGTACTGTATTTCTATAAACAATATCTTTTGTTTTTATATCATGCATATTATTTTTATTTTATATTTAATTTAATGCATATTAGCATAAGCAACAATTGTATAATAATTTATTTATTGAAAAAAATTTTGACTTTTTTTTTTTTGTTACTGATGTAACATATATTAGAAAAATTATATATTATTTTGATTGTAAATAGTTTACAACTTTTAAGTATTCCAAAAATCTTTTTGTTGAAAATAACCTTAATGAAGTGAGTAGCTTTTGTGAGAAAATAGTTATGTGTAGGATTGTAGTTCGAAAGAAACCAAAAATATGAAATATTTTACCTAGTAGTAAATAGAACTTTTCAAATTTTAATTAAAATTAAAAATTGTTTTAACTTATGAAAACAACATTAATAATGTTGTTATTCACTGTGAAAATTTTCTAAAAAAATTGATAAATAACTCAACAATTTGACATAACCGTCTTACAAAAAATCTCCAACTAACTTAGTATTGCATAAAAAATAAAATATCTAAAATGTAATTATATAAATGTATCCTGTTTTCAATTTTTACTTTAAATCAAAACTTTGATATTAAAAAATTACTTAATTTGCTTTATCATCCGAAGTACTATTATATTAATAATTTATGTAGTATATTAATTATATATATTACATTCAAGAAATTTAACAATTTTAATATTTATAGGCATATTTTCTTCAATGGTATAAATTTAGTCATTAGTATATTAGCTATTCTTAAGTTTTATTTAAATTATAGGCCTTACACCAGAACAAGCAATGCAAGCAGCTATGTCAAAAAATGTAAAACTTTTAGCTATACAAACTAGTAATACATCAACAAAAGGTATTTTACCTATGCCATCTGGAACTAAGCCTCAAACAAATTCTACTGTTGCTACATCAAAGCCGCAAAATGTACAAAAACAATTTTTGCATCCTCCTCCTACACCTCCAAAATTACTACTACAACAACCTACTCAAAAACTTCCTCCACTACCATCTACTAGACCACCATTACCTGAAAAACCACCGCCGCCACCATCCCAACCTCCTTTACCACCACCACCTCCTAACCAAATGATAATGACTACACAAAGTGTTGCTCCATTACCTCATCCTCCAATGCAACCACCACCAATTCCACCTGGAAATTTTCCTCCAATGTATTCTTATGTTCCAATGCCAGGAAATCCACCACAGCCCTATCCAAATCCTATGTTTCAACCTCAACCTACAAATATGATGAATGCAGTACCACCTCCCTATCGCCCTCATGAAACAATGCCTCCCATAGGTATGCCTTATATTAGTGAAGCAGTTCCACCGCGACCCCCATATAACGATAATTATAATCAAAGGGATAATATGATACAACCTCCTCCTCAAACTTATAACGAGTATGATATGGCAGATGGAGGATTTCAAGAACCATTTGATGAAAACAGACAAAAGTATATTGATGGTAGATCATTTAAGCATGATGGTTCTTTTGGTGGACCAAACTATGGAAATGTTCCTCAGCATTATGATGGTCCACATTACCCAGATCCAGCTTATCAGCAATATAGAGCTCATTTACCTGCAAACCGAGGTTTTAACAATAGAAATAATCGACCACCGCCTCCTGTATACCAGAATCGACCACCACTTCGAAATCATCCATATCAAAAAAGATAGCTGTTGACCATTTTTTTAATACAATTGTTATGTTTTAGGTAAATAATATCTAAAGTGTTTTTTTTTAATATTCATAAGGTTTTAAAAAAGTATTTTAGTTGAATGACTGAAATATAGTTAAATCACTGTAATCTAAAATGTTTAAATAGATCATTTTTATAAAAATAATTGTTTTCAGAGGCTTATAAAATTCACTTGTACTTATTTTCTTTAACTGAGTTATTTAAGTATAAAATACGGTACTTTTAACAAACAGGTTCTAGTAACCTACACAATCAATTCAATAGTATACTTACTAATGTTTATACATTAAGTGTAAAGAAAAAACTTATTATATGATAAGAGGGAAACATGGATTCAGAGCTTATAGTCTTATGTAACAGAGACTACCCTAGCATTTGACAAATGTCTTTTTTTTAAATTAAAATTAATAATTTTGATTTAAATAATTAGCCACAAGTGATCAATTTTTAGTTTTATTATATAAATATCCTTTTTTAATATTTTAAGAAATATTAATTGTATAGTTATATTCAAAATGTTTTCGTGGATTAAAAAGCTATTAACTGTTAGCCACACTAGCTATACAGCTTGTAGAACTACAATGGATTGATTCTATATATTTTTTTCGTTTAAATAATTTTATAACGTGTTACCAGTAATTTTGTCTACCGGAAACCATTTTATAGTTTTAAAGCTACCATCAAATAATTATTCGATTGTTATTAATCAGAACTGATTAGTTTTAGATTATCGAAATACCGTATAAAATATTCAATAGTTTTTATTCAAATAAAAGCTACCATATATTTTACTTGATAATTCGATAGTAAAATCATGCGCATTTTTATTCAAACAAAATATTTATTGTTTTATTTAGTTATTCTAACCCGCATAATATCCTGAATAGTTTGTAATCGTTTGATAGTAGTTCGATAGTCAATAGTTGGGTGATATGATTATTCGATAACTAAATACTATCGTAAAACATTAACATTATTCTATCGATGGTTTTTGAAAATAATCGGATGAATCGATAGTTTTAGAATATCGTATAGTTATATAGTATTCACTGGGTAGTGTCCATCTCTAAGACTTCAATTGACTAGGTATTGATAAATGAGTCATGAACTTTTTTCGTTGAAAATTATAAAAGATGTAATAGTATTATATTAAACTCCATGAGTAGAGCAATTTGTTTGTATTAATTATTAGTTATAACTAAAAAATAGTTAGAATTAAGATCAAAATTTGGCCTCGTTACAAGATTTATCATTAATAATAAGTGAAAAGTATTTAAATGATATATAAAATACTTATCTATTCCATTTTTTAATATATAGTATGATTATTTAAAGTATGTTCAATTTAGAGTTTTTAAAAGACATTGTTAAATATCAGTTGAGTTGATTAATTTCATTGTGATTATTAACAAATATAAATAATGTATGTTAAGTTTGATACCTAAGTTTGAGATCTACTTCAATATTATTATTTCTCACATATAGAATAAATATATCATGTTTATTCAATATAAGCATTGAATTAATTTATTAAGAAATACATTTATTTTCATTAATTCACCAGTAATGATTATTTTTTTTTGTAAATCGCTGTTTTTAAGAGAGTGGTATAATTTTGGTTTGGCTATGGGAGCAATATTTTAAATACATTCTTCATTTATTATTTCAAAAATTAAATAAAATTGTTACGACATAATTTTCAGCATTCGAGGGTATATGACAATTAATCCCCTCAACATTTATGCTACTATCCAGATTTGTTGTAGTAACACACATAACTTACAGTAGTGTGTTATGGTAAACGTTTCTATGGATACAACAATTCTGTTTATTGTTATTTTACTAAAATTCGTTACTACTGTTCTTTTTTAACACGCTTATATTAGTTTCACATTATCTATAAATTCGCAGTAATAAGACACTAGTCTGTGGTAATAATGTGTAGTTTAAATAAGTAAATAAAATTTTATAAATATATCTAATATTTTTGTAATGTAAAAAAAAGTCTACGATAAAATATTCCGATTGTGTATTTATATCTTAATTACTTTTATATTTATAATAACTAAATGCAAATCGTTATCATAAATGATTAATTAGTATGTATTATTCAGTAAATACACTAATCAAGAATTAATACACTAAAATATTCGTATTTTTTTCAAAAACATATAGTTTACATAAATTTTATTTTAACGTCTTAAAAAAAAGCAATTCCATTTTCCTGAAATTAACTTATGTATTTGTGTTGCTTGATCTCTAGATATAAACTGTGTATTTAATTATGTTACAATAGTGTTTCTTAATAACCGCTCTTTAGCATTTAGAGGGAGAGAGCGATGATACGATCCGGCACCTCATAACAACCCTAATGTATGATATAACCATAAATTAAAAAAAAATCTATGTTGTTTAAAGAAATATGTTTACTACTCTGTTGATTAATTAAAAAATAATTAATGTAAATATTTATCACTAACTGCTCAAATTTTGACACTCAGTAATTTAGTATACTAAAAATATGATTAATTCATTTATATACGTCCAATATACACTTTAAAATAATAATAATAATAAATAATCCATGGTATATACCATACTGAAGAACATTATTGTAAATATTTGGCTTACTTTTTCATATTTTTAGCATGGTAAACTTTTTAAAACTACTTTAATATTTATCTAACAAAATTTAAAGCGTTATGACCTATTTTTAAATTTTGTTTTACACACAATAGTTTTCGTATTATATACTAAGTGTTGTAAAACACAAAAATAGGTCTTAAATTGATGTCTTATCTTTTTTTAGAATTGTTATTACATTTTCTTATAACACAGAAAAGTCATTGGCCTTTTTTTTCAAGATTTTAACATTTTTTAATGAAGAATTCTTAAAACTCATAAAATTTGTGTAAAACCATATTGAAACCATTTTATGTCTTGGCAAACATGCCTCATCGTATGTAAATTAAATATTAGTAATTAAGTGTTATATAATTAATAGGTAAATATGTCTGATAATGGAATATTTCTAATATCAGCAGTTGGTCAGATAGAAAAAGCACATTTTCCTGATTTTGACAATATGTACTGCAAGTACGCTTTTGTTTACGGACCCGATTGGGAAATAGTAACAGTAAGTATAAGAATTTATATTACAATGAAATATAATAAATTATAAATTTATTATATGAAATTCACTTATTATTTTTTATATTTTAACCATAATTTTGAATGTATTGGTAATAAAATATATTTTATTAATTTAAATAAAGATAATTTTTCAACAGGGTATGGAAGAAGGTATTTCTCAAATAGCTAAAAAAAGCCAAGATGAGAGACAAATCATAGTTTGGAATTTTCCTTTGGACATTTGTTTCAAAAGTACCAATCCTCATGGATGTATGTTTATGGGTTTATTTTATTTCCCAGATAATTGTAGATGCTGGTCTGTTTTAAAACTTTGTTTAAATAACGCATTAAATCCTTATTTTCATTGAAGCCTTATTTTTTTTAAAACATATTATATATACAAATTGTTTTATACACATATATGAATTGTATCACTTATAATTCAAATGAAATAAAACTATTGCACTTTTGAAAATACTTATTTTGTGTGATACTTATAGAATATTTTTTCCCTAATTATATATAAAACATTTTTTTTATAGGGCCACAACTAATTATTAGTGTTTATGGCTTAGACACATTTGGTAATGATGTTGTTAGAGGTTACGGAGTATGCCATCTTCCAATTGTTGCAGGAAAAACAATAAAATCGTTAGTATAGTAATTTAATTTAATAGGTATTAGTTCTATTTCAAATATTAAATTTTTAACATTTTTTGCATTTAGTGTGACTATGTTTGTACCTGAATCAAGTTCATTGTTACAAAAAGTTACTTCATGGTTAACTGGTAGAAGACCAGAATATGTTGATGCTCGGTTATTAGCCAAGGGAGATGGAAGAGAAGGTAGTTTAAGCATTTTATAATTTTTTTAATAATATAGTTTAAATTATGATATTTATTTTTTAACGTTATTATGTTTTATGGTTATTAGTAAATTATATTTAGTAATATTTAGCTTGACCCATTATAATTGTTAGTAATATAAAATTATTTTCACAAATTAAAATGTAATGAAATGTTTACAGTGACAAGAGTTCGTAGTCAAGGTAATGTAAGCATTTGCTTCGACATTTTTTTTAAAGACTTCCATCATTATGGTTTTGAAAATAATTCATGAAGTAATATTTCAATAAAAAATTACTCTCAATATTAATCCATATATACAGAGTGAATATTTTAGTATTAGCCGCTAAATTTATAATTATTTTTGTACTTTTAAAATACTTAAAAAATATTATATATTTATCATTAAGTTTATTTTTAATTTATCTTCTTATACAACTTTATTTTTATTCAACAAATATTTTACTAGCTTATAAAATCAAAAAAATGATTCAATTAAGAAAATGACTGGTTGATAACAACTTATGACTTATTATATTGGAAGTTATAAATATTTTAAATATAGAGCGGAGGTGAGGTGTAAGTTATATTATATTTATCATTACATACTACTTATAATTTTCTTCGCATAATTATTATTTTAAGAGAAATCAAGTAAACTAATTTAAAAAAATTCACTCCATATACTACAAAAAAACAAATAAATATATATAAATAGTAAATTCATTTTGTGTAATTGAGATAATAACTATAAATTTGAGTATTAAAGCTTTGTAGTTTTTTTAATAATAATGATAAATTTAATATTTAAGGCATAAAAATAACATTACTTTTAAAAATTATTCTTAATAATTATATTGTGTAAAATAATATTCTTCATTATTTTTAAATATATATTTTTAGTAGTGACAGTCTTTTATTATAATTAAATTACTCTTGTTATTTTTAAAAATCAATTTTTAAGAAAAACGAATAACTTGTTTGTTTTAATGAATAATAAAATAAATAAATTCAACAATAATTTTACCATCTTAATTTCTGTAGTTTGTAAAGTATTTACATAAATGTTCTATACAATTATAGAATAGTGATGGCAAAATTGAATAAACATGTTCATTCTTTTTGATATTTTTAATAATAATTTAAATAATCTACTTGATAGAGCCTGAAGTATAACTAATAAACAAATAATATGTACTAGATTCAGCTACAAATCCATATAAATATGTGTTACTAATATATTACTTTATTTTTAATTATATTCTGGGTTTTGTCAAAAAAAAAAAATTATTTATATATGTATATATTATGTAAATAAGTCTCTCATTTTTTATTTATTTTTATGTATCTAATGACTTTTATTATTAAAGTTATTCTCTAGTTTGTTATCTTTTTAATTTACAATGACTATTTGATTCTAATCATTTAAAACGATTTTGTATTCTTAATTTAAACTTAAATTTTTATTCAAAATGACATAATTTAGAATTATATACTATTTTATTAAAACAATAAATTAAGTTATAAACTAGTTTTAAGGAACAGCTTGTTTGGTATACAGTGATTTATTTGATATATATATATGTAGTTTTACATTTTGGCCCTATTATGGATTGTACTTATAAGTAACAAAATATTAAAAATTATTACATTAGCAATATAACATTTTAACTTATATAATATAAAATTCTACAATTGATATATACAAAACTTAATTTATTTACATAAAAAAATGACTGGAAATTCATCCACTTATTTAAAATTATACACAAACTATTTTTGGTAAATTTTTGTTTATCCAGCTAATGTTGAAACACATATCTATGAACAATGTTACAGCTTATTATATGTCTATATCTCTAATATTAGCTTGGATGAATTTAAGGTTAATCTTTAATTTGACTGTTGAGTGAGTAAATTAAGCAATTCTTCTTGATCCATGTGTATCAATGACTCCATGTCAATGCCTAGCTCAGATGACAACTTTGGTATATCTACTCCGAAAGATTGTAAGAGCTCTATAAAGTCAACTTCCTCGCCTAAAATAAAAATACAAAATATTACTAATCTAAATTTAATTATTCATTTTTAGAATCATTAGATATTATAGTTTTACATTAGTGATTTATTTACCTGTTGCTGGGTTTTGAAGTTTTGGACATGAATTGTTACATTGTGGCCAAGTACATCTTTCAATATGTTGATGCCGACAACCGGCTCTATTTTTATGATGACGACGACGTTTTCTATACATTCTCTCTTCTTCATTGGTAACTATTAAGACAATAGATGTTATAGTTATAACTTAATATAGTTTATTCTATTAAAATAAAATCTTAAAAGTTACACTGACCTCTAGTACGTTGATTGTTATTTTTTCGTCGTATTTTTTGGGTTTTTTTCAATTCTTGGCCCGAATTTTTTTCAACTTTAGCTATTTTTTTGTTACTATTATCAATTTTTCTGGACTTAGGATTTTGGCTAGTTTTTGCGAGTTTAGTTTCTGTATGCCAGCAGTGCAGTGCCAAAGGTAAAGATATTGAATCGATTTTGATATTTTTCCAATCTCTATTAGTTAGCACCGTGTGTGATACACATGATGGAGCGAATACGGCTCTAAAAAACGTCCATCGTTTAAATTAATATTCAATGCTTTTGGTACAAATTATGAATGAAAAATGCGAAATATAAGAAAGTACTTACGTGACATTCATTAAAGATTTTCTTAGGCATTCACCCACCTTATGAATATAATCCCATTGTTGTTTTGTAACCGGAGTACCTATGTCGTTTTTCAATTGAAAGTTATCGTATAGCCATTGGAAAACAAACAGTGGTGCTAAATTATACAGTTAAAAAGATTAAATACATTGAATTTAAATTATAAAAGTAAAGTTACCTGATAGAGTAGGATAAATCTTATAGCCAATAAAACATTTGGAAGGTTCGTTTGCGTAAAAATTCCGACATCTAGATGGTATTTGGCTATGCCAGTAAGGTATTCCTAATTTTACTGCTTCTATTGGAGAAGCTGACGTTGATTCATCACTATCTAAGTGGAAAGGTCGATGGTCTACAAACCAACCAGAATCTGTAATACCATGCACAGACATACTGCTATAACGGCGCAACATCTTCTGAATGGGGTCTAAGTTTAACATGACTCCAACGCCTCCAGCACTGAAAACATGATTTATCAAGCTCACAATAAGTAATTAGTTCAAATTTTTTTGTTTTGATCATTGCCTAAAAGGGTTTTAAATTTCTTTTTAAAATAGTTTGCTTTTTATGTTTGTTATATATAGATAACATTATTTTTAAGGAAATTAAATGCAAATAATCTTTTGCAATTAATGTTATATGAACATCAGTAAACCTAAATTTTATAATTCATAAATACTGATACCTAAACTTTTATAGTATACAAAATAAATGATTTAATAATCCTAAATTGAACATACCTGCTCCCAGATAATATTAAAGAGTCGGCATTAGCTAACCCCATTGTCAACAGTTCTCTTATAACCTGCTTTATTACTATAGACCCCATGAAATTGAATTTTGATCCATGCTGAGGTTTGGCTCTTCGACCCGTCCATATATCACTCGTACAATAAGGTACAAATCTAAACGACATTTTAGTTTTCATTTTTAGTTGGAGCTTCGCTTAGCTCATTTTAATAAGTGCTTTTTGTTAATTAGAAAAGTATATTAATTTACACTTACACATGATTTGCTTGCCACCAATATGGATTTTCAACTGCATTATTGGACAATATTCCACCAACTAAACAAAAGTAACAATTAAGAATAGGAGAATTATATAAATTAGATTACTACAATGGCGTAGTCATGTTTTTGTTTTGTAAAAGGACATATATAAAAAAAATATTCACTACTCCTTCTCTTTATCATGTAAATAATTTTATTTTGGAAAGTGATCTATCCCCATTATTCCCTCCCATAATTATGCCACTTAATCACTATGAATATGTAAGTATTACTTATTCGTGTCTCGGGCCATTCTTTAGACGACATGAGATATTCAGCCCTAGACCACCGTTCATCGCAACTTTGTTTGTCATAACAGCACCATCCCTCTAAGAAAATTATGAAATTGATAAATCATGTATATTCAGAAAGTATAATTTTTTTATTTTTTCTTCTGTTACTCACCTTCAAGAAAGACTATCCATGTTTTACTGTAATTTGAATGACGCATATAAAACCTAAAAATATATATTATTTTAACCGACTGCTGTTAATTATATTAATCAATTCTTACCCGGCAGGAGAACCATCGTTACAGGTGACATCGGGTGATAACATGTACTTTTTTAAAAACTTTCGCTCTATGTTGTGTGATTCTACATAGTTGGAATCCTGGATCACACTAAACTGTTAAAAATAATGTTTAATAGACTGTTTAAAAATAATTTCTTATTGTGTTTTACTTGTCCTCCGTGACTGTCAGGAATTATTCGATAAGTCAGTGGACTTACTTTATCTTCTGCGCCAACTCTCACGGCTAAGAAAATGCCTGATATAACGAGTAATATCTGTAAACCAAAAATCTTTCATTAACACTGTTTTAACTGCTACAAATTTGAGCTCTGAAAATATGCTCATAGTTAAAGGTAAACAATAATAAAGTATTAGTTATATCATATATGTTTTACTAATATGTACAATTACTAATATTACATTACTAGTCATGAATACTTAAAGAATCGTTTATGTATTCTAATAGCGTTCGGTATCTTATTAAAATTAAATCTTGTAGTAAAAAAATTAAATCAATAACCATTAATCGGTCATTTTAAATAAAATAATAACCAACAACTTTTTTTTCCTGTGCGAAGGCGTGTTAAACTTACATTTGATCGTACAGCGAGCGGAGAAAATCGGTAACGACAGCAAAATATCAAAACAATTATCGACCTCAATACATTCGACTAAATACATGCAAAAAAAATTGTCCAACAACTCGCCGTGAACATGAACTTTATTTCTCACACACAATCATATTTTTCATTAATGGAACAGGCCTATAATACATTTATCATTAAACTGCTCTTAAAAAATTAAACCTAGTCGACACAGTAATTTTTCTGGTAATTTTGATACTAACTATATTGATGTTTAACTTTTGTCCGTAAAAAGAAATTTGAAGACGTGAGATTGCTTGGTGCATTTTTACATGTTTTTGAATTTGTGTTGGCAAAATATCAGACCAAAACAGGTGCAAGGTCAATGGGCTTTCTTAGAAAAGTAAAAGAACATTGTTCTTATAATGTTTGTTTTGAAAAAATTGTGAATTGGTAGATCGAAGTAATTGATTTTATATTTTGTTCAAATATTTGGAATAGGGCAAGCTAATCAATATACATATTTGTCGGAAGTGTGCTTAAGAAGATATAAACACTAGAAAAAATAAAATAAAAAAGACTGTAGACTATTGGAGTACAGAATGGATCGATGTCACCAGAGGCATTGTAATTTTACCGCTAGATATGGAATAAAAAAAAACATACAATTTTTTATACAATATTATTGTTGCTTCAATTGTAAATGTGTGTACATACAAAATAATATAATTCGACTACATAGAGGCAATTCAGTACAGTTTTATTTATNGAATGGATCGATGTCACCAGAGGCATTGTAATTTTACCGCTAGATATGGAATAAAAAAAAAACATACAATTTTTTATACAATATTGTTGTTGCTTCAATTGTAAATGTGTGTACATACAAAATAATATAATTCGACTACATAGAGGCAATTCAGTACAGTTTTATTTATAGCTGTTGTATATTCGAACGAACCGAGAACGTTTTAACACCTTACAGAGAACTTAATTTCCATAGGTAAAAGTCATTAGTTACTAATAATTGGTAGTAATATAATGGATATTGGTTCGAGTTTCTGAAAATTGAGGTTTTTAGGATATAGTATTGATAATTGAAAAATAAATTTGAGAGGCCAAAAATACATTTATATAAATATAGTATGTTTTTCTCAATTTTTATGTAAATTTTAACACACACAAATATTGAAGTTGTTTTAATTACTACCAATGATGTTAGATATTCACGGGTGGTCGAGTTGAGTTTTTTTTAAATTTCAAACTACACCGCACCGTTGAATTGAATACATTATGTTGAACATTGAATCATTTCAAAGTAAGAAATATAAAATTTTTAATAAAAATATCAAGTTTCTTGATTTTAATTCTTACGGGTTTTGATTAATTTGAATCCCAGTTTAACTACAACAAAATTCCCAAAATAAGAAAGTCGCTAGTCACGTTATTGTTAAAAACTAGTGCTATTTTAACCTCATAAAAATCAGCACTCCATTAGTTGTAAGTGAAGATGATACGTGCAATTGTGTATGTCTACAATTGCACTTTGGGTAAAATTACTATCCATTTGTTTGCGAGTTCGATTCTACTTTTAAATACACGTGTCTGTGCTGTTGTAAAGCACAACACATATTAATTTCAGTTTGATTCGAATTTATATTATTCAAAATCTAGGCTACCACAAAAAATATATGTATATTGTTATATAAATGTTAACCTTGGGTATTTTTTTATATATAATTTATTTAAAATATTTTACTGTATTAAAATATTGAAATTTTGTGAATCGTTATTCAATGATTCATGGTTTCTATTTAGGAGCAATAAGTGTAATTAAAAACTGATACGAATCTGTTGATTAATAACTAATACCAAAACAAGAATAAAAAGCAATTGGTTGATTCTAAAACGTGGAATCGTTCATTTCTAAAAATTAATTTGAACACCTAATTATTGTTTATTTTTGCGATAGTTATGGAAAAGCGTGAAAATGTAAATGTCTTGTAACAATTAAATGTGTTGATTGCAGTGCTGACTAGGCGAAGGCAGGTCGTAAAACAAGTACAATGATGCAGTTAAGTCATAATCTACAATACGTGTACGTGGTGATGGGTGTACGTGCGGCGGACGCTCACAAGGGTCTCGGTCGTGACAGGCTGAATCGGATATTTCAAAAAGTGTAATTTACAACCTATTGCTTTGGAGATGAAAAGACCGTATCGGTGGCCGCGCCGGGAACAGGACCTAGTGGAAAATGCGTTTATGTACAAAAAGAAATTATTCGATATTTAAGACGTACATTGTGTACGTGTGTGTGCAGTCGTGTTGAATTCGGTAGCAGATTAGGGAGATCGTAATTTAGCGGTTAATTGGACACCACCAAACAGGACCGGGGCGGGGGACATGGCGGCCAAGAGGTAACTCTACACCAGCAACACCCACCGCCGACAAAGACACCGCCGCCACGCGTGTATATGTATGTATAGATTATTAACATTTTTAATATTATTTCGTGGCCGTACCTAACAACCGCGCGTTTTTTACGAATTACATTACAGTCTCATTCGCCGGGTGCTTTAAAATAGCAATTTCTAAAATGATTTCAGAGATTTTGACATTATTATAATTCGGAATTTGAGACGTTAATGCTCACGTTTTTTTTCGCTTTTAACAAAAATAAAACACAATTGACTTTAGCGAGTACAATAAATTTCACTATTATTGTAGTAAATCACTGTTAATTAACTTGAGAATTGCATCGAACTTTAATGAAAAGTTGCCGCAAATCTAAATCACAAAAATAAAAATCTAGTTTGTTTACCTCCTCGCAATGCGTCATTTTTTTGCTTAGATTGTGTTGTAAAAGTTAATGTAACAATAATAGTGCTAGTTTTTTTTTCTTTCTAGAGGCTATTTAATATTTAACGATATCGTCGGGATTCCGTGCATACTTTTGAAATCCGAATGCCAGATGAAGACGTCCGCTTCCCTTGGAATTCTTCGAGAAATGCGGTTCTATCATTTTTACGGAACTGTTATTTTTGGGGAATTGCGTGCTCGACCTTTTTTGCGTAACACATTCGCAGGTCGTTGCAAAAGTAATGCAAAATGTGTGAAACGATTATGTTTTTAACGACTTTTCTCTGATTGATCGACTGTGATAAATGATTTACTCGGTTTTTTACTGAGTGAAAAAACAATACTTTTAACGGTTTCTAATGGTCATTTCTTTTAGGAAAATCTCATCGACCCAATTACAAAAGTTCTAAGCGGAGAGACATTTTAATTTAAGTAAAAGTCGTATCTATTTATAGCTGAATATTTTTATTTTTTTTGGTTATTTTTATTGGAAAAAAAACGAAACATAAACGTTGCCAAATATTCGAATCATTCCTGGAGTATTTTACAATGAATGAAAATTATTTTTAATAATACTCAACTGTTTCAGACATTCTTTGGGTTTATAGCTTCTACGAAAATTGTCGGAAACCTTCATCAGTACGGGGAACATGAAATTCGCCCTATGTCTATCAGAACTTGAACTTAATACAAAAATTCTTTATCGTTTTTATTTGGTTTTAGCTTATTCGACCCACAATAGTATTTTATTTGAAACGAGCAAACCGCTTACAAAAAAAAAAATAACATCATTTGGAGCAGCACAAGTTGGTTAAGTATTTTATTTGATTTTTTTGTCAACAAATCGTGTTTGTTTTTGTTTATTACTTGGACATGAAATGTTTTTAAAAACGAATAAGATAATATTTGTCGGCCGACGCGGACGTTCCAACTCGGCGCGCTTTTTATACTCCGCTCCGACTGCCCTTACGCATAATTGAACCTAACCACATGTGATCGTGTCTTATCGCATTAAAATTATTGTAAGTCGACTTATCAAATCTGACGGGCTACTGGTACGCGGCCGGTAGACGGCTAGAATAATATCGTGCGGTTTTTAATGGGTCGCGCGTAAACGGTATCCCAACGAATAATATAAGAAGAAAATCCTATTACACCGGCGGGTGATGAGAAAAACACGGAGGGAGAGGAGGAGCAGGAAAAGAATAGTTAATATGATCGTCATATAAAGAACAATATACCGTTTTCTGTTCAGCTCTCTTTTTGGACGTGCAAAATCACAATTGGTTTACCGCCTTTGAATGCGTGCCGCCTATGTAAACAAAATAAGAACGCGCTTGTAGGGGTCGCGCCTTTGATGTTACGCCGCCTGACAGCTGTGCACTGCTCTGCTGCTGCTGCTGCTGCTGCTGTTGCCGCTCTCCAGCACTGTAGATCGCACGCACACACACTCACGCGTACACATATGTTGGTAGTACCCATTTGGGTCTGCCGCCCAATGATTTTTCACTACAATAATCCGCCTCTTTCGGAACGGCACAGAAGAGCAGGTACGGGCAGCGTCCCGGCCGGAGATGGACGAGTGATAATATAATAATATTATGATAATTATTTTTAAATCCTTAAGTGTATACTAATAAATATGTACTGTGCACATATATAAAGACTGAATATTTATAACGTTGCGGGTTGAGATTAGAGACAAGAGTTGTAAATCTTTCGACGGCTCTTTTGTGAGGCGGCAGCGGCGGCGGCTGTGGCACAAGTCGGAATTTTCATTTCAGATTCTAAACGCAATTAATTATGTAAATAAATATTTCGCTGATTTGAGAACTAAGTACTAGTAATCAGTCAATCGAAACTTAAATAAGCTCATTAAAAAGTTTCCTTAAATATCCTTGGAAACTTTTTGAACGAGTAATTAGAAAATGTATTAACTTAACGTTAATCTGGTATTTTTCAGGAATTGCGGTAAGGTAATTAATAAGTAATTTCAATTCAAAATTATGTAAACTGTAATAAAATATAATTTGTGTACATTTTTTAATATAGAAATTTAAAACAAGTCATAACTTAAAATAAACAAATATAAATGTTTATTGATAAATGTTATATTAGTTGTAACAGTTAAGTACATAGTTATAAGTTCTGATATAGAAAGCTAATGAAAATAATAAGAACATTAATTTGAAAAAAATAAATCCTTGCTGTTATTTTATTAGTTTCATCGGTTTTTTTTTTTGTATTTTATCTCGGGATATTTTATTTAAAAGTTATGACCTATATTTTATTAAAAAGTGATGTTATAAAAGCTATCACAAAATAACTGATTACGGCTAAATATGAATTAAAAAAATTTTAAATTAAGAAAATAAATCAAAAATCTTACTATTTGATTTTTATTGATATTAATTTAAATATTTTATTTCCATTTCTAAATTTATTGATCTATTGTTTGATTTGATGATTTAAAATGATCAAGTCTGATTAGATTAATCTTAAATTAAGAGAAAATGAATGCCATTTAAATTATTATTTCAATTTGATTAAATATTTTTTAACAGTAACAATTTTAGTTAAAAAGTTAATTTAAATATTTATCTCAAAAAGCAAAATAAATATATTTTCTGGTTGGAAAATATTATGTAAAAAAAAGTTCGAATTCAAAAGAATTTTGGGTTCGGGAGCATTACACTTTTTGTACTTCATGACTAAGGGAAATTTTTTTATTTTTATGTAACAATTATTTATCTAATAAATATGTATATGCGATATACATCACATCATTTTTGTAAAAAATTTTATATAACTTTTTTTTTTTTTTTTATGGTGTAGAAATATTTTTTTTAAACTATCATCTTTAAAATAAAAAAATGGTCTTTATTTTCTTTTTTTGAAAAATAATTTTAATGATAACTTGAATTTTATACTAGCTCTAATCTAACAATGATGATTTCATCAAACCTAACTACTAGTAATGCATTGAATTGGGGAGGCTAATTAATATTATTAAATAATATTGTTTTTAAAATAGAAAAATGATTTCTCTATATATACCATAGTAATGATATTATTAGAGCATTAGATTAATCTTTGTAACATTAGGTCTAATAATTGGCTATAGAAAAATCGATTAAAATGGATCAAAGAAATACATGTAATGTTCTATGAATAAATTTAAATACTATATCAAGTGAAGGGGAAAATATCAATACTATAGATGACATTCCTCTGTTACATACATAGATTCTATTTTTTAACACTACAAAACCCGAAAAAACTTTGACAGAATTTATCTTATATAGTAAGTGTCAGACTTCACCTATGAATTGTATTTATATTAAAAATGTGTAAATAAACAGAATATGAACAATAAGGAAAAATGAGAGCTCTTTGAATAATTTGTTTCTTTCGAGTAGTATTTTTAAAAACTGTTGTTTCGAGCTCTAAAAATAGTAGTAAGTGAAACGTTAATGTATGTAATATTTCTCTCTATATATATATAAAACAGAGAAATCAGTCTTAGTGTTGGGAAATAATCATCGGCGAGTTACAACTTATAATATCGGAATAATAATAACAATAATACTACTAATAGTTTATTACTATTATTAGTTGGAAATGTGGTAGTCGGACAAGCGAGCGTGCGTGATGAGTATAGGAGCGGTCAGTACGGTGGCGGCAATGGCAATCGTTCTGAGCAACGGTGGCGGCTAAGATCAAATGAAATTTCGATCCCCGCTATCCGGGCTGTGCTGTGGCCAATAAACACAGAGTGTCTGAGAGAGAGAATACCCCTGTCCGACCGCCCCTCATCGTTTCAATTTATCCTAGCATAGTACGAAAATCGAGGTAAGTAAATGCCGCGTATTTACCTACAAAAGACTTGAAGCCGCGCGCAATGGCTATTAATTTATGCTATAAAAAATAAAGCAATGCCAGTATTATTGAACCTCCTAATAATCCAGTAATATTATGCGTTTTTCAGCTGAAAAAATTAATTAAAAAATTTAACCGTAACCCTTTTTCTCTTTACAAAGAGTAAACGATTCTACGGTAACCGTTATTTTCCGTTTCGCAAAACAAACTGACATTAATAAATGAGAAATATCATTAAAATTCATTGTTCTTATTTGAATAATTCGACTGTCGGTGTTGAGACAGTAAAATTAAATCTTTAAAGACAAAAAAATTAGTCTTTTAGATGAACGACACCAAACCGCAATTTTTCGAATACATCACTCCATTTCATTCTATTTTGTGATTGTAATATTATTTTTGACATTTTACTCCTCGAAATAATTTTATTATCAACTGAAAATATCTCACAAAGGGGTTTAATTATTATAAACAATATTATTGAGGTTACTTTAAATCGATAAAAATTGCATCTTTAAATGGATTTTCGAATAGACCCCTCGTCATACAGACTGTGCTAACAACGTATTTTTGGATGATTTTTGTATTTCATGACAAATTATTCGAAATAATGTAAGGTGTGTGGAGTAATGCGAATCTACAGGACTCGATTCGCTGCCGGTTCAAACTCGCTCTCCACTTACAATCTCAGTGCAAGATGTTTAATACCGTCTACTTTGCATAGGGTAACAATGTTTACAAACAAGGCGCCTCCGAAAAATATTTGTTATTACACAGTACTTATCGCGTCATGATTATTTTTACATGATAAAATTAACATATTATGTAAATATTATTATCTTTTAGTAATAAACATTAGTTTTTACATTAAAGCACACTTGGTTGGCTCTTTGTTTTGTTTTACATCAAGACTCCATAACTAATATGATGCTGCTACACATCGTATTCAACTATTGCTCATATACACTTGGCGCGAAAAATGATAGGCAGTTCGATGCGCCTATCGGTTACGGATTCGTTGGACTCGGTGATCGTATTACTCTACATCCGAATTAGAACGTAGACGACGCAAAGAAGACATATTTTCAGCTTTCTAAACGGCGGCGGCCCAAGACGATAGCCGCGTCTTGTATGGCGTGTTGTCACGGCGGCTGGTCTGTTATCTGTGCGTGCGTGTACAAGCCTCTAAGCACGCGCTTGTATGTGTGTGTGTGTGTGTGTGTGTCTGTGTCGGCTCTTTTGATCCTGAGCGCGTTGCCTCTGGCCCAAAAACCGGTTGACAGCGGGGCCGGTTAATAGTACTGTATACTGTACAAGCACGGGCGGACGCGTATCCCCTCGGCCTGCCGCCCTGGAAATAATTTGTACCGTGACGTGCGGCCCGACGGCGGCGACTCAACGTAATTAGATCTATCCGCGTCTATGCGTATAATATAATATATAGTCGTATAATAGTATTATATAGATGACGAGGCGCATACATATAAAACTTATTATTATTATTATTATTATTTTATGCGCATCGTCGCATTGTATTACACGGCGGCGACACCGATTGCCGCCGCTTCGCCGACACAGGAGAATTGATGCTACAGGCGCGTGCACTGCGAAAACATCACGTGCTCCGCTCAAACAGTAATATAAGAAAGTAAGTGACATTCGTTTGTGGTAGCACTTCCGCACCACTCCGGATACTTGTTTTCCTTAAAACCGCACTCGCTCTTCAATGTTAATGGAACGGCTCTTGTTAGTTTAGTAATCCAATCCCATGAATTCAATCAAATCAATCGTCGGGATTTTTTTTTTTTAAGATTTTCCCCTAGTTTTTTTTTTTTGAGGATAAAAGGTGATTTATTTAAATATTCAAAACAGACATTTTATTAATAAATATGCAAATGGATTGTTTA